ACGTTGCAGATCTAGAATCCATAGACAGAAATCACATAGTTAGACGTTATCGGTACATACAAAAATTAAGAGATGATATAAGTATTCGATTTAGGAACGAATATCTAGGAGAACTACTTTTCAGTCGCTAAAAGAAGGGTAATACCGTCTTAAAAATGGAGATATTGTACTTGTTGGTCAAGATAATATAAAAAGGATCAGTGGCCAATAGGTAGAATAACAGAAGTCATTCAGGGAAAAGATGGAATTCCAAGAACAGTAAGAATAAAAACACAAAAGGGAGAACTTTTAAGACCATTTCAACGTGTGTACCCCTTAGAAATAAGTCAAACCGAACAATGTAATCGAATAAAACAGAATGACAAAAGAGATGAAACAGAAAGAACAACTGAAAATGTTGAATCCAGACCGGTGACAAAGGCAGGAAGAATAGTTAAACCACCTTGTCGGCTTGGGTTTTAGTTATTTTTATTATAGTATTTTATTTGATTTGTATATTTATTATTCTTCTCTTTAAGCGGGGAGTATGTTAGGAATCTCAGGAATTATATGAATTAAAACGATATTTTCTGAAATAATATTTTTTACGTTCTCCATCTTCATTTATTATCAATACCTTTCTTTTGTAACTAAGAGGTGAGAAACCTTCCAAAGCAGAAGAAAAAATTCAAATTTCTATTTAGATAGCCGATATGTCCATCAATGGACTTCCGATGAACATCTGGGAGCCATTTTGGACCACAAACTAGACGTTGGGGATGGCATATATAAAGAACAAATGCAGAAAAGTCTTCCTATTGCTTCAAAAAACTGCTTTGATAAAAGATATAATTTGAAAGTATAGAATTTGATATAATTAAAAATTTGCACTCAAATTTGAAGAGTTCGAACTATTAAATATCTGAGAGCCATTTTGGACCACAAACTAGACGTGGGAGATGGCATATACAAAGAACAAATATTGCAGAAAAGTCTTTCAATTGCTTCGAAGAAGTGCTTTGAAAAAAGATATTTTTTGAAAGTATGGAATTTGATTTAATTAAATATTGACATTCCAATTTAAAGAGTTCGATCTATTAAATATCTAGGAGCCATTTTGGACAACAAACTAGACGTTGGGGATGGCATATATAAAGAACAAATGCAAAAAAGTCTTCCAATTGCTTCGAAGAACTGCTTTGAAAAAAGATATAATTTGAAAGTAAGGAATTTGACTTAATTAAAAATTAGCACTCAAATTTGAAGAGTTCGATCTATTAAATATCTGGGAGCCATTTTGGACCACAAACTAGATGTTGGGGATGGCATATACAAAGAAAAAAATGCAGAAAAGTCTTTCAATTGCTTCGAAGAAATGCTTTGAAAAAATATATAATTTGAAAGTATGGAATTTGATTTAATTAAAAATTAGCACTCAAATTTGAAGAGTTCGATGTATTAAGTATCTGGGAGCCATTTTGGACCACAAACTAGACGTTGAGGATGACATATATAAAAAACAAATAGAGAAAAGTCTTCTAATTGCTTCGAAGAACTGCTTTGAAAAAAGATATAATTTGAAAGTAAGGAATTTGACTTAATTAAAAATTAGCACTCAAATTTGAAGAGTTCGATCTATTAAATATCTGGGAGCCATTTTGGACCACAAACTAGATGTTGGGGATGGCATATACAAAGAAAAAAATGCAGAAAAGTCTTTCAATTGCTTCGAAGAAATGCTTTGAAAAAATATATAATTTAAAAGTATGGAATTTGATTTAATTAAATATTGATATTCCAATTTAAAGAGTTCGATCTATTAAACATCTAGGAGCCATTTTGGACAACAAACTAGACGTTGGGGATGGCATATACAAAGAAAAAAATGCAGAAAAGTCTTTCAATTGCTTCGAAGAAATGCTTTGAAAAAATATATAATTTGAAAGTATGGAATTTGATTTAATTAAAAATTAGCACTCAAATTTGAAGAGTTCGATGTATTAAGTATCTGGGAGCCATTTTGGACCACAAACTAGACGTTGAGGATGACATATATAAAAAACAAATAGAGAAAAGTCTTCTAATTGCTTCGAAGAACTGCTTTGAAAAAAGATATAATTTGAAAGTAAGGAATTTGACTTAATTAAAAATTAGCACTCAAATTTGAAGAGTTCGATCTATTAAATATCTGGGAGCCATTTTGGACCACAAACTAGATGTTGGGGATGGCATATACAAAGAAAAAAATGCAGAAAATTCTTTCAATTGCTTCGAAGAAATGCTTTGAAAAAATATATAATTTAAAAGTATGGAATTTGATTTAATTAAATATTGATATTCCAATTTAAAGAGTTCGATCTATTAAACATCTAGGAGCCATTTTGGACAACAAACTAGACGTTGGGGATGGCATATACAAAGAAAAAAATGCAGAAAAGTCTTTCAATTGCTTCGAAGAACTGCTTTGAAAAAAGATATAATTTGAAAGTATGGAATTTGATTTAATTAAAAATTGGCACTCAAATTTGAAGAGTTCGATCTATTAAATATCTGGGAGCCATTTTGGACCACAAACTAGACGTTGGGAATGGCATATACAAAGAAAAAAATGCAGAAAAGTCTTTCAATTGCTTCGAAGAAATGCTTTGAAAAAATATATAATTTGAAAGTATGGAATTTGACTTAATTAAAAATTAGCACTCAAATTTGAAGAGTTCGATCTATTAAGTATCTGGGAGCCATTTTGGACCACAAACTAGACGTTGAGGATGACATATATAAAAAACAAATACAGAAAAGTCTTCTAATTGCTTCGAAGAACTGCTTTGAAAAAAGATATAATTTGAAAGTAAGGAATTTGATTTAATTAAAAATTAGCACTCAAATTTGAAGAGTTCGATCTATTAAATATCTGGGAGCCATTTTGGACCACAAACTAGACATTGGGGATGGCATATACAAAGAACAAATGCAGAAAAGTCTTTCAATTGCTTCGAAGAACTGCTTTGAAAAAAGATATAATTTGAAAGTAAGGAATTTGATTTAATTAAAAATTGGCACTCAAATTTGAAGAGTTCGATCTATTAAATATCTGGGAGCCATTTTGGACCACAAACTAGACGTTGGGAATGGCATATACAAAGAAAAAAATGCAGAAAAGTCTTTCAATTGCTTCGAAGAAATGCTTTGAAAAAATATATAATTTGAAAGTATGGAATTTGACTTAATTAAAAATTAGCACTCAAATTTGAAGAGTTCGATCTATTAAGTATCTGGGAGCCATTTTGGACCACAAACTAGACGTTGAGGATGACATATATTAAAAACAAATACAGAAAAGTCTTCTAATTGCTTCGAAGAACTGCTTTGAAAAAAGATATAATTTGAAAGTAAGGAATTTGATTTAATTAAAAATTAGCACTCAAATTTGAAGAGTTCGATCTATTAAATATCTGGGAGCCATTTTGGACCACAAACTAGACATTGGGGATAGCATATACAAAGAACAAATGCAGAAAAGTCTTTCAATTGCTTCGAAGAACTGCTTTGAAAAAAGATATAATTTGAAAGTATGGAATTTGATTTAATTAAAAATTAGCACTCAAATTTGAAGAGTTCGATATTATTAAATATCTGAGAGCAATTTTGGACCACAAACTAGACGTTGGGGATGGCATATACAAAGAACAAATAATGCAGAAAAGTCTTTCAATTGCTTCGAAGAACTGCTTTGAAAAAAGATATAATTTAAAAGTATGGAATTTGATTTAATTAAAAATTGGCACTCAAATTTGAAGAGTTCGATCTATTAAGTATCTGGGAGCCATTTTGGACCACAAACTAGACGTTGAGGATGACATATATAAAAAACAAATACAGAAAAGTCTTCTAATTGCTTCGAAGAACTGCTTTGAAAAAAGATATAATTTGAAAGTATGGAATTTGATTTAATTAAAAATTAGCCCTCAAATTTGAAGAGTTCGATATTATTAAATATCTGAGAGCAATTTTGGACCACAAACTAGACGTTGGGGATGGCATATACAAAGAAAAATGCAGAAAAGTCTTTCAATTGTTTCGAAGAACTGCTTTGAAAAAAGATATAATTTAAAAGTATGGAATTTGATTTAATTAAAAATTAGCACTCAAATTTGAAGAGTTCGATCTATTAAGTATCTGGGAGCTATTTTGGACCACAAACTAGACGTTGAGGATGGCATATATAAAAAACAAATACAGAAAAGTCTTCTAATTGCTTCGAAGAACTGCTTTGAAAAAAGATATAATTTGAAACTATAGAATTTGATATAATTAAAAATTGGCACTCAAATTTGAAGAGTTCGAACTATTAAATATCTGAGAGCCATTTTGGACCACAAACTAGACGTTGGGGATGGCATATACAAAGAACAAATAATGCAGAAAAGTCTTTAAATTGCTTCGAAGAACTGCTTTGAAAAAATATATTTTTTGAAAGTAAGGAATTTGATTTAATTAAAAATTGGCACTCAAATTTGAAGAGTTCGATCTATTAAGTATCTGGGAGCCATTTTGGACCACAAACTAGACGTTGAGGATGGCATATATAAAAAACAAATACAGAAAAGTCTTCTAATTGCTTCGAAGAACTGCTTTGAAAAAAGATATAATTTGAAAGTAAGGAATTTGATTTAATTAAAAATTGGCACTCAAATTTGAAGAGTTCGATCTATTAAATATCTGGGAGCCATTTTGGACCACAAACTAGACGTTGGGGATGGCATATACAAAGAACAAATGATGCAGAAAAGCCTTTAAATTGCTTCGAAGAACTGCTTTGAAAAAAGATATAATTTGAAAGTAAGGAATTTGATTTAATTAAAAATTAGCACTCAAATTTGAAGAGTTCGATCTATTAAATATCTAGGAGCCATTTTGGACCACAAACTAGACGTTGGGATGGCATATACAAAGAAAAAATGCAGAAAAGTCTTTCAATTGCTTCGAAGAACTGCTTTGAAAAAAGATATAATTTGAAAGTATGGAATTTGATTTAATTAAAAATTAGCACTCAAATTTGAAGAGTTCGATATTATTAAATATCTGAGAGCAATTTTGGATCACAAACTAGACGATGGGGATGAGATATATAAAGAACAAATGCAGAAAAGTCTTCCAATTGCTTTGAAAAAAGATCTAAACTCTTGAATCTATAGTTCTAGTCTACAGCATCTATAATGTGACTATTTTTTATTATTTAATCATTTTAGATACATATTTTGTGATCAATCAAAGAAAATATAATTAATCTTCTAAATATAAACCCGTGCTTCTATTCTATATGTTTCGCTCTCGATACTTGTTTTTTTTTTAATAAAATGTAACAAAAAATTGGGCCCTTTAACAACGAGTATTTACGTCAAGAACGTCACTGTAAAATATTATTGGATTTATACAAGATCCCGAAACACATCTCATACATTATAATTAGGAATTTTTTATGAGATACGTAGGTATAGGGAGATAGCGAATTTAAAGTGATTTTGCGATATCAACACAACCTATCTAGAAATTTTCAACAATTATGCCCCATTCCTTAATTATTGTCATATCTAAGTTTGACAAAAAACAATTAACAACTTTAGATCTAGCACATACACATCCAGAGTTCGTATTTTTTTAATTAGTTTATTTATTTAAAAGGCAGTGCTTTTTTTCAAAAATCGATACAATTTGTCCGATTTGTGTCAACAAATATTTTGCCGAATTGTAACTTTTCTAATATTCGTTTTTATTGCTGAGATCACTGGAAGTATCAATTTATGTCACTTTGTTTAAGTCAAATCGATTTCTTCGCTTGGAATTACTGAGATGGGAAGCTCACTGATCTCGCCCAATTCTTCTTCAATGGAAACACTTAACTCTGCCTGAAACAAACAAAAAGATAAGTGAATATATGTGAATGAAAAGTATAGCTAAAAAACTTTGAGTATGGTACCACATCGCGCCCGTTGCAGTATCCAAGAGTACCAATATAGGGACTCGAATTTCGGACATAATGTATAAATTTTAATAAGCTTCTTCATTATCTAACTACGTACTAAGTACCTACCTCTTGTTTGAGTTTGTCCAACAGCCGCCTTTTATCCATTCGAAGACGATCTACCTCTTCGGACTGATGGGCACTTCGTATTCCAGATATTTCCAGCAACGCAAGATGAGCATCTTTTTCACTAATAGCCGATTCCAAAGCTTCACGTCTGTAAATTTTACATTACTAAAAGTTCTAATTTAATTTAATTACTATAATTAAATAAAGGAAATGAAAAATTAAATTAATTAACCACAGAAGAAGAATATAGAATTATAACAAATGAGGAAATTAAACAAGAGCAAGAAATAAAACAATCCAGAGCACAAAATGGAAAATTGATTCATTTAATGTTACAATGTAACCCCGGAGGGAGAAGGAGACCTGAAAGATCCAGATCAGGATGGCTGAAGAAAATAAAAGAAGATCTACGCAAGGCAGAAGTGAATAATTGGCTAGTCTTGCAAGCAGTAAATATTTTACACTGATTGACCTTAAAGGTGCTTATCAACAGTTAAACATAGGTGAAGAATTTAAAGAACTTTTTACTATTAATACCCATATGGGACTTTTCAGATTTAACAGGTTTTAACATATGAGGTTAGCTCAGCTCCAGGTATTTGTCAAACATTTAGGGACACCATATTGTCAAAGTTACCTATTACCAAATGCTATTAGGCATTCCAACGACCTGTCAAACAATAGGTGCCAGTGGGAAATTCTTGTATATTTAAGGGGGGTAGCGACATAGTCTTACAACTTGGACGCTATTTTTATTCGAAATAGTACTCGCCAAGCCTGCCAATTTATGAAGAAATGTATAGGTGGGTTTTTTAAATATTATTTTTATTGTGTTTGACATAAAATATTTAAATGTAATCCATTATTCATGATTTTACGTAAAGTAGATAGAATACACCATATGTCGCCACCCTTAGCTATACCAAACCTGCCCACTGGTAATTCATTTGTTTGGAATGCCTAATTTAGAAGATATTTTTAAGTTTAAGTTATTATCACGGTGAACTATAAGGTGCATCAACTCCTATTTAAAAACAAATGAAAACGGCGATAAAACCGATCGTACTTCCTAGCCAAAATCCGCTAGGTTCGCTAGTATCTATCCGGCAAGAAAGTAAATAAAAGATAAAAGTAGGAGCTGCAATTTAAAAAGTGTTGACAGATAAATATTTTTTTAAAATTTTAAAATATATAAATCATGGTGGATCGTTATGCTGTTTTTAATTGTGATTATGGGAGAGAGTCTTCAAAATATTAATAGCAGTTTTATAATGCCAAAAAAACAGTTATACAGAATATGGTGCAAATTATTGGTGGTATGAAAATAAACATTAAACCCAAAAGTTCCATTTGTGAAAAACATTTTAGTGCAAATTATGTTATCCGTGAAAAAGTGCTAAGAAATCTACTAGGAAACGTTATTTTTCAAGTAAATATGTTTAATGTCTACGTTTTAAATGATTGTAGGTTATGTAAATAGGTTATTCAACTTTGTCTTTTCTGTAATAAAAATAATTATTAGTATAAAGTTTTACTATATAAATATTTCGTATTATTTATCCTGTCTCCTTGGTACTAATAATGTTATGACTTGGACCCTATTATAATGTGTTCATGATATAAATTTCATATACACAAGGTACCTATTTCTTTTGATATTTTTCTGACCCTGCGAATAAATAAAATCTTTGACTTATTCCTTTTAGCCTAATTATAATGCTAGAAAGTTGTATCTGGTTATAAGAATCAAATAGATACTATGATAAATTTATTTTACTTGTAGCCTTTTTATTTTTAAGTGTTCAAATATACATTTGTTTAATAATAATCATCCCCAAATGTGTTTTGTTCCAGTTCTTTAAATGTATTTACTAGGTTTTTATAGAAGTACTGATTTTAAATTAATAAAAATTTGAGCTGTAAGAAATATTTAAGATTTTTCAATTCTGTATTTTTATAGGAGTTAATAATCTCTTTAAGTAAATAAATGTAGTTCGGGGTCGTAGATGTTGGTAATTTGTGTATTGAATAATTTGTACATACACTAGTTAATAATTTAAACAATGTATTTTCTGATGTACCTAATAATTATTTAAGGTTATCTTGTAGTTGAGAAGTCTAGAAATCCGTATATTCACACCACTCTGAAGTCTAAAATTTGACACAAATTTGAAGTTAAAAATAACGATCGTATTACTTGAAAATCTACAGATTTTTTTTCATTTTTAATCGATGTAAAAATTGGTAAATACATGATAAAAAGTAAAAGTTATTTCAAATAATTAAATATAACTTTGCAACTATATGTTACGATTCCAACTATCAGAACTAACCAGAACAAGAATGGTGCATTTCCAGACCCTTCAATTATAAAATTACCATTATTTAATGTGCAGCGCAAATATAAAAAAAAACTACCTAAAAAATGCTGTTCCTGCTTTTATTACTTATGATGGGACTACTTCTCAAAGGAGACAAGAATGTGGAAAGTATTGCTGATACAGTTACCGAAGTTATCCACTGGGGGCGAAGTGTTAATCTTTTAGGAATATAGGAAATATTTTTTTATACCTAACAACTTAATACTTATTTATTGATAAGTTATAGATACTATGTATTTGTAATTCGAAGTAATCATTATGACAGCAGTGTTCTTCTTATTGTATTCGAATTCTAACACAAATAAAACATCTCCTTAAATTTTTGTTAAAATTATTAATTTATTAATTTTACATTAGAAAGAAAATTAACAATACACACAAAATTATTTAAAATTAGAAATAAATACAATTTACACATTTCCCATTATTACACTTTTACTTACTTAATTTATTCATTTCTTATATTAACAATTTAAATTAATAATATAGTTCATTATTTAATTGTAACTCATTTTATAATTTTACTAATTATTTTTTTATATTTATTTGTGGAAAATTAAATATTAAATAAAAGCATAGGAATTGTTCTATTAGATAATAGCAGTAATGAAAAAATAAGTAGGAAAATTTTAAATGTATAGTTTCCAGATTTATTATGAGTTTTTCATATTAATGTACTCAATAAGTAGGTTTATTATGTTCGCTTGTGCACATCACAGTTAGCAGCAGACAGTAACAAACCTGACAACACTTCCGATTTCAGAAAAACATTACAACAATTTGTTTTACATTATATATTTCAATAATGTAATATAATAATCATTTATATTTAATTAATGACAAGGTTTACTTTTTAAATAAAACTATATGGCCCTGTCCCGTTTCAATTAGCACACTTCTCAAATTTATAGTGACTGTCACTACAAGAACAAATCATACATAAATCTGATAAATTACTTTTATTTTTTTAACCCTTTCACTTCCACTTTCATTAAAAAAATACCACTGTAGTAGATTGTATGTTTTCTTTGTTTATTTTAAGTAAATTAAAATTTTTTCATAGTATTTTTTATTACTCCAAGACATAACGTCCCTGTTCAGGGACATTACAAAAACAAAAATTTACTATGAAAATAATTTTTTTATAATATTAATCCTTAAAAGTAATGCAAATAAAGTAAATAAACCAAAAAAAAAAAAATTTCTACCAAAATTAACAGATGTATACTTCAGGGTTAATTAAGACAGTGTCCCTCTGGAGAGACAAATACACTGAAAGGGTTAAATATTTACAAATTTTCATGAGTGTTTCATCACCTTTAACTTTGATACAAGTTCTTGAAAATCTTGTGCAGGGAACCTACTCCATATTTCTAGATTACCCATTTGCTTTAATTCTGACGGTGATCTTGTGGGTGCTGCACGCCTCTGCTTAAAAATTATCACCACATATACAAAAAAGCATCTTTATTAAATGAACAAGAAACTAAAAAAAAAAAAAATAAGCATTATTAAAAACTACAAAAAGTGCATAATTTGATAACCATATTCAAGCTTCAGATTTGTAAAATTAAAAAAATTCCAAATACACATTTAACTTGTTCAATTATGTATTGAATAAAAGGTCTGTTCCAGCAATGATCAGAAACAAACCACTGGGTAGTACACAAGTTTGCAGTATCAATAAACTACTGTGCAGAATCCTGATGTCAGTAACTCATTTCTGAGCATTGTTGGAACAAACCTAAAGTAAATCGAAACCACTTAAAAACAAGCACAACATTTATACTCGAGCATAATTTTTAATTCCTATCAAAATTTTTAATTACTGAATATTTTGTTCTAGTTATATTAAAATTTAAAAGTTCTTACTCCTCATTATAATTATATTTTTTAGTTTCCCTATATACCTACATACTATCTCTAACATTTTACAAATTTTATGCCTAATTAAAGATTTCATCTAGCATTGCAGCATTTTTTAGAATATTTGAGAGAGCATAGTAGTAATTGCCAGTTAAAACTTTATTTCTAGTATTTAGTTTAGGTAACAGAGACAACGCTTGGAACAGAAAATACATACTTTTGTTAATTCAGAATTTTTAAATGTTGTTTTATATTATAAATCTTTCCAGGTATCCTATATCATTTTTTTTATAATTTTCAACCAAAACTGTTTAAAAACAAAAAGTTTAATAAAAAAACACCCATTATATTTAATAAGGTTTATGCTCTAAAACTCACTGTTCTTTTAATGGCAGATTTTTTAACCTCTGAGTAAAGTTAGGTGTAAGTATAATCTATAGCCTAATCAGCAAGTAGTTACTTTCAACTTTATTCAGAGGTAAAAACCTGGCCTTTAATCTTAATATAATTGTGGAGGATGGAGACTACATTTGCTAGGGATTAGGGAATAACGAAGATCTGACTACTATAATGACACTTGCTAAAAACTGTATAAGTTCTATGTACATGCAGATAGAACCATGTGAATAACTTTAGTGCTTCGATAACACAACCTTGATAATTAACAGATGAACATATTGGTTACAAAAACAAATTAAATAATATATTCTACCAATCTCATTTTTTCCAAAAAGTACAGTTACAACCTTGTTATTCTTTGAGATGTATTTACTACTGATACTTATTAATAAAAATAATAATAATTGATATAGGTACTTACTGATCTTTGGAAACATATATACTCCAGTCCAGTGAGACTTCATTATTCTGGTATAATGCTATTTCACAGAAATGTTTGTAATTCCAATCACTATGTATGGATTTGATTATAGTAGGTATAAAACTAAATGTTTATTGAATATCTTTAATCTGGGCAATGAAAATCACAAAATTCACTTTAAAAATAATAAGCTTCAATCTGAGTACCATAGTTAAGGTCCACTTCTTCATTTTATAATCAGTAACCCACTGTATTGCTGTTTTTGCCAAAGCCAAAGGTAATATTTGAACACAAAACAAAATCAGCTATTTTTTTATAAACACCCCCATTTCACTTATTTAGTAGCAAGTCTCTGGCAGCAACTTGTAACTTAATTGGAGCATATTTATTAAATCTTGAACACTTTTTTTGATCATATAAACTCACACAGTGCAGCTTGTTTAAAAAAAAACACACTTCAACCATCAATAACAATAAACTTATTTGTTGACCATTAATTTTTTCATCTGTACTCCTGATAGTTTTGTCATTTTTCATTTCATATAAACTCCAATTTTCACCATAGAAGAACTATTTTTATGATTGCACTTTTTTAACAGATAAAAAGATTGCCGCAATTTTCCGCCGTAACGACACTAGCGAACCTAGCGGATTTTGGCTAGGAAGTACGATCGGTTTTGGTATGTTTTTTTCAGGGAGTTGAAACACCTTTATAGTACGCCGTGGTTATTATTAAGCTGTACACATGTCTGTCAATTGTCAAAATCGTCGTCTGTCAGATGTCAACTCTAAAAAAAGATATCCTGTCTTGTATCTTGAACGGGATTTCTAATAAGGGCAACTATCTTATATAACTAAATAAATAATAAGGAATAAATATCAATCAATACATAACAAAAACATTTAAGCCGACGTGAATTAGTAGAGAAAATCGTCTGCACACGCGTTTGAAGGAATATTGCGATTCATCTATTTTTAACCTATATTTATTAAAAAAAAACATAATTTACGATTATTTTTCACCTTTACTTATTATTATTAAGTCTCCAAGTCTCCTCAGTAGACACGCTTACACATTCCAATCCAAATGCTATTTTTGTATTAATTGTTTTTATACTTACTTCATGTGAGCTAATTCTTGTAAATTTTTCTTCCTTTCGCCTATGAGCTGAGCGAATTTAGATTCTAGTGTTGTCATCCTAGATACGTAAGGTTTACATGAATGACATCTTAAAGCTTGTGCAGACTGTAACGATAGAAGTCTCTGTTCTAACTTGTAAACCTAAAAAAATTAAAAGATATACATTCAAAATTTAAATTTCGAAATAAGATATTAAAATTAGAAAAAATCAGTTTAAATATATTTTAATCAGTGGCGTGTATCTGAGAACTATGGGGGAGGGGGTTAATAAACAGTTAATAGCGACCAGCACCAAGAAGATAATGGAAACGGTGAACCGAAGTCTCTCCATGGGGGACTTCTGACCATTAAAACCCTACGCCGCTGTTTAAACACTTTTGTTTATATTTGTTTTGTCAGTGTATATAATATATTAAATGACAATTATTAAATTATTAAAAAGAATGTCGCCAAGTCAAGTTTTAAAGTAAAAAGATTTATACATTTCACTTAGAATTATTATTTAACTATTTGAACCAGCAGTTTACATTTCAAACAAAATTTGGTCTTTCGAGCCGGATTTCAAGAATTTCAATTTTCAACAACAAAATTAATAATTTCTGTCTACCAGCACAAAATATAAGTACTATATATTGAGATGGGCGAATGTATGGTAGGAAAGCGTTCAATTTAAAGTAGTTTTACTTACTTTTTGCATTATTTGATGTCTCTTTTTTTCTTCTTGTATCAGCACCATTTCTCTTTCTGTAGAAAGTTTAATAGTCTCCCTAAGAGCACTCTCGAGTTCTCTTATTCTTCTATCCTTTTCTACCTTTTTATTATGTTCGTCTTCATCAAGTATTTTTAGTTTCATTTCTTTCTCATTGGAAAAACGATTTTCAATTTCGATTTTCATTTGATCCGTGGTATTCATCATGTTATTCCTCAATTCGGTAATAATTTCATCTTTTCGCTTTAGATTAACCTCTAAAATTTGTTTTTCGTGTTTGTTCTCTTGGAGAGCTTCTTCGGAGGATTTCAGCGCGGACTCCAGGTGGCTGACGTAATTGTCGTCTAACTTGCAGTCTCTTGTTCGCATAATACTGTTTCCGTGTTCCTAATTTTAAGCAACAAAACAGTACAATGATACATTTATGCATTCATACAAATATCTTAAAAATAAATGGAGCGGATAAGTAAAGGGAATGGGGCAGGATTGAAAGGGTGACATGGTAAGTCTAGAAAAAGCTTTTTAAGAAGCCAGCAGGTCCAGCCTATAATACGTACGTATCCGTGTTAGCAGAAACAGAAAAGACACAATGTTATTAAATTCATTCATTTTAACAGCCGATTTTAATGTATATTTTATCAAAATTTAAAATTAATATTTTAATTATACAGAGAGTATTTATTTGCCAATTTTAAAGTGTTTCGCTTAGTCATACATATTTAGTAAAAAAATTAAAATAGTTGTGTAACCGTGGTGTGACATTATATTATTTTTATTTCTGATACTAATGCTTTTTAAATATTAAAACTTGCAGTTTAAAAATTGATGCTTATTGTTCATTTAATTACTATAGTGTTCGTATCACATGAGAGAAGTTTTACCTTTTTTTTTTTTTATTTTAAACAAAAGAAATATTGTTAAAAGTTGAAGGTAAGAAACTGCATTGTGTTAAGCTTAAGCTCAATGTATAAAAAATGTATTTATCACACACGATATTATTTAAAAGAAAAATGTATACAGGGGGTTTAAAAAAGGTGAACCCGTTACTATAGTTTATTTGAAAATGAATGATATCAAAATTGTGACCCAGGAGATAAACCCTAATATAAATCAGTGAAAATATTTAGCGGTATTTATTCCACAAAAATTTCCTGGTTTTCTTCCTAAAATTTTTAAAAATAACAATTTATTTCAATTCTTGTCTTAAATTTTCTAGTCATTCAAAAATATGTAATCTTTAGAGGGAGAAAATATTTACAATTCCAGATCATTTTAAGTAGCCCTCAACTTTCTTAAAAAGAGGAATAACATTTTTACATAGCAGAAAGTTTTATGCAGATTGTAAATTAGTTTAGTTAAGATTTACATTTCTGTTTGTATAGTCCTGTGATTGTAACATGAATAATTGTTAGTTCCGTAATAATAGACGACGAAAAGCGATATTGATTAAGTGAATTTGCGCAATAATTATATTTCAAAACGAACTGCTCAGTCAACATCACTGGCTAGATCAATGGGATTTAATAAACCAGTGGCAGATGGATTTTACAAAAAACTTGAAAAGCTGTATTTGAAATTTAAATTAGTTCAGATAAAATATATAGTGTGGACGAAACGGCTTTAATTACTGTTCAAGCTTCTACTAAAGTTGTAGCTGCAAGAGGCCAAAAGCAAGTTGCACAGGTAACATCTTCAGAAAGAGGGGAACTAGTGCAACAGGAAACGTTATACCTCCTCTGTTAATGTTTCCAACAGTTCACTATAAGAATTTTATGCTGAAGAGTGCCCCTCCCTGTTCTATAGGCTCAGCTAGTCCAACAGGTTGGATGTTAACCGAAATATTTGGAATATTTTATACGATAACTCCCCATTTTATCGAAGTACGGTTTGAAAATTTTCTAAATATGTCTATATGTTTGATTTCTGTTTAATGTAATGCCAATAAATCCTTCTAACTCCACTCGGTTTTGATTGTTGCGTAAGTACATGTATAGGAAGGACTAAACATTAGCCCAAACAAATCTGACATAATTGCATTCACCCGCAGGAGGAATTGGAGGGACTAGGGCCTCTAAACCTAAGAGGTGCAAGCGTCCAGCTTATGGGGGAGGTAAAATATCTCGGGGTTATGATTGACTCGAGACTTACCTGGAACCAGCATCTAGAAAAAACCACAAAGAGAGCAGAAACCTCGTTAATGATGGAAAAAATAGGAGTTAAAACCAGACATGGTATATTGGCTTTATAACATGGTGGTGAGACCGATAATAACATACGCAGCTTTGGTGTGGTGGCCAAAGACACAGCAAAGGAAAGCAATAACAAGGCTAAGCCAGGTACAAAGACTTCACTATATGATACAAGGGGAGGCAAGATTAGGTGCTTACAGATTAGGGAATACACTGGGAAATCTTAAGATTAGGCCAGGTCACATGAGTATCTCAATGTTAGTGACAGGAGACGTGCTAGACATGAGATCGGACCACATAACCAAGAGGTACTCTTTTATTACTCCATTTGAGATGTTAATACAGGGTGCCCAACGACAGGAACAAACCTGGTATACAGACGGAAGGCACTAGGGCGGGAGTATTCTCCAAAAACTCTGATACTAACCATAGCTATGTTATAGGAATACATTCCTCGGTATTTCAAGCCGAGGTATACGCAATTTTGCAATGTGCAAAAACGAACAATGAAAGATCTGTCGAAAAGCAGCATATTCAAATAATGTCAGACAGCCAAGCGGCCCTTAAGGCCATATCGAGTCAGAAAGTTACGTCGAGGATGGTATGGGAATGCATCGAAGAACTAAAAACACTGGCAGACCGAAATAGAGTAAAACTATTTTGGATGTCAGTTCCTAAGGGATCTAAGGCAACGAAAAGGCCAACGAACTTGCAAAAAGAGGGTCAGAAGAAACAACGGAACTAGACACAACCCCAGGAGTACCAAAAAGTATAGTTCAGGGTTTTATAAACGACTGGATTCGGGAACAACATAATAACTATTGGGAAAGCACCCCAAAACACGCACATGAAAAAGCCTTCATAGGCAGACCATGTCCCAAAAGAACTGGAGAACTACTCTCTATGAATAGGAACCAGTTGAAAGTGATAACAGGGTTCATGACTGGGCACGCTCCAGTAAAGGGACAATTGAACAAAATTGGCATGTACAATGGGGAACTCATGTGCCGACTATGTCACAAGAAACCAGAAACGGCCAAACACATACTGTGCGGATGCGAAGCCCTAGATTGCAAAAGACATGCACTTTTTGGACAACCCCAGGTATAGAACCCACTCACCTAAGACAAGGTACAAAGGTGACAGAGTGGGTGCTATGAACTAACATGGGGTAAAACACAATAAGCCAATAGGCTTCAGTGTTATTCGGAGACATAGTCAGACGAACCCAGGAGAAAAAAAAAGTACATGTTGTGAATACTGCCGAAAGCATAGGGTAAAAAAAAAATTAAAACAAGAAATGCTGTACTTTCTAATGCTGTGATGAATAATATCATAATAGAGCAAAAATATTTAGAAGTTGGACATACTCAGATGGAGGCCTACAGTTTGCATTTCACGATTGACGCTGTATGCGAAGGAAAATAGTACATTCAAAACCATACGAAGTTAAATACCGTCATACTTTTTTAGGGATGTTATGGCATACAAGTCGTCCCGGATGAGGAAAAGTAGATTTTAAGGTTTTGGATATTCAGGCGCTAAATTACACCCCTGAAGGTGAAATATTTTTTAAACTTTGATTTTCTCGTGATTGGACTACATTACCGCAAAGAAAATATACAGTTGTAAAAAGAAGAGTCGCTGATTTGCCACAATTACTTTTGCACAAACTACCTATTACAACACATAAATATCAAGATCTATAAGCTCGTAGAAAAGTTTTGTCGCAGGATTTTCATGATTATTATAATAATTTACCACATTTATAAATTTAACATTTTTTTAATATAAAACGTGGTTTTGTTTGTACCTTTCATTTGCCACTGGTGAATGGATGTTCCTTCTGGACTCCAGGATCCTTTGGCTGATGCACATGCTGTCTTAATCTCTTAATAGTATATTAACAACAATAGCTAAAGACCTATCAGTAGTTGCAAATGGTCTTTAGGCCGAAAACGGTACACTGTATCGAGTTTTACCAAAAGTACCTTTTTGACGTTTGAGATCACATTAAATTTAAACTACAAAATTTAAACTCAAAGAGTTATGATTAAAACTACTTGGTAGGAACCGTGTAACTAGCGCCCTCTATGAGGGGCAGATATAAAAATAAATTTATGCTGTCAGCCTCCAAAATTTAATTACAATGTTGCCAGTAGTTTCGTAAAAAATGTGTATTTTTTTTTTTAATACCCTGTATCTTGAAAACGGATGCCGTTACGTTTTTACTTTCCTATCTGTATACAGATATAAGGAAAGTATAGGAATCATGATTTTTTTCGACCTCGAGTTTTCGACGGATTTTTACGTTTTGAGGTCCCCTGAATCCGTTTTGACTATTTTCGCGATGATGTCTGTGTGTGTGTGTCTCTGTATAACGCATAACTCATGAACCGATACACGGAAAAACACCAAATTTCAAACTTAAGCTTTATTCCAGCGTCTAATGAGCTGATTAGATTTTGGGCAGAGTCGGAACATCTGGGGGGGTACTTTATAGGTGGTCATTTTTATATTTTATGGAATATATCTGTTATTTACGTTTGGGGAAGAAATTTTTTTAAATAAAAGTTACTTCTTATTTTATTATCTATAATTTTTGTCATTTACAAAATTTTCCTAAAATGGTCCGTATTCGAGAAATTTGACAAAATGTAAAAAAATATTTTTTTTTATAAAAATTGTTCAAACAAAAGTTGTTTGTAATATAATTCTCTATAATTTTTGTCCCATAGATAATTTCTCTAAAATGGACCGTATTCGAGATATTTGAGAAAATGTGTAAATTTCGAAATTTGAAGAAAACTCAAAAACGGATAAAGAAAAAATCAATAAATTTTAAACTTAAGTTTTATTTCGGCCTGACGTAAAATGATTAGATTTTGGACAAAGTCGGAACATCTGGGGGGGTACTTTATGGGAGGCCGTTCATATATTTTATGGAATATATCTGTTATTTATGTTTGGAGAAGAAAATTGTTCAAATAAAAGTTACTTCTAATATTATTATCTATAATTTTTGCCTTATGTAAAAATTTCCTGAAATGGTCCGTATTCGAGAAATTTGACAAAATGTGCAAAATTTTGATTTTTATGAAAATTGTTGAAATAAAAGTTGTTTGCGATATCGATCTCTATAATATTTGTTCATACATGATTTTTTTTAAATGGACCGTAATGGAAAAATTGTAGGAAAAGTGCTAAATTTAAATTTTTCAGTATTTTCATTTTCAATGAATATCTATAGAAAAATGTTTCGCGGTAGATGTATGTGGACAATGTATATATATTTAGTTTATCCTCTAAACATTTATAGAGATGCTGCAATAGGTTGTACACAATAAACGGAAAAAGCCTGTAATAACTAGATAGGAAAGTCATGTGTTGGACACATCAGATTTTTGTTTTTACTAAGCCAACTTATTTGGCAGTGTTATATCTATACTAGCAACGAGGTCACCTTTTTTTTTAACTCCCTGTATGTAACATTTATAACAGATATTAACTTAATTTTTTTGTTCGAATAACCTAAAAAATGGACGTAAGATTTATAAAATTTTAATCTGTTTCAGTTACCTAATTAACGAACTATTTTAATAAAAATGTTATTGTAAATCTACATATTATGTTTAAAGGAAACTTATTTATTGAATGTAAAAATATTGCAGCACGATATTGCATGAGTTAAATACGAACAATTTGGTTTTATTTTTTTTACTGTTAATATTTTTCCTTTTAAAATTATTTTTAACGTAATTGGAACTAATATTAAACTAATAATTACCTCTTGTTGTTGTGCTTGTTGTTGACTCTTCAATTTTGCCTGTGCATTTTTAAGTGCCCTGAAAAGTATTAAAATAGTTCATTATATTTTATTTCTAAGGTAAAATTAATAAAATCTATTTTTCGTAAATATTTCGAACCCAAACGATCTTCAAGATAAATCACATTTGTGGTAATATACGTTAAACTTTTTTCAAAGAAAACTCACTGTTGCAAATCTGAAATTTGCTTTTCTTTCGCGTTCTGTTCTTCTTGGCTCATTTGAACTAGTTGAAGCAGCCTCTCCATTTCGGTCGCTGACCGTTTGGCTTCTTCCTGTGCTTGTTCCATCTTCTTTTCGGCATCAGCTAACTTCTTATTTAGATCGCCCATAGCAGCAGCATTTCCACCAGCCTAAAATAATTGTAAAATATTAATAGATGCATAAAATAGAAGTTATAGAGTTAATAACCCTGAAAAAATAAATCTGTTGTCGATTAAATTAAATCTAAAAAGTTTAAAACTAAAAGAAATTAGTTCAAATGAACCAATACCTATAATAGACGAAAATTTCAAGCATAATATTCCCAATGCATGGACACCTTAGGTGTAATGCCACCGGTTGTATTATATTTCCTAAACTAAATACAGAGAAGACCATTTTATAACATAACTTACTTTTTGCAGTGAATTTTGTAATTGGTCCAATTGCTGCTTTTGTTTGTGTAATTGTTTATCTAATTCAGCTAAGCCTCTTTCTTTATCTTCTACTTGTCTACTCTTGTTTTCTACGATTCTCCTTTGTTCTTCGAACTGTTTTCTGGCGTCTTCTATTTTCCTCCTCTCTTCATCGAGCTGTCGTTTCTGCGCAGATAAATCTTCGCCTGGTTTTTGAGCAGTGACAGCAGCTGCTTTTTTGTGAGCTTCTTGAAGTTCCAACTAAATTTATTAAAAAAATTAAAAATAGTTCAAATAGTTATATAAATTAAAAAATAAAAGGATAAAGTTAGTAATTTAGACAGTTAAATAAAAACGTACTGTATAAAAGAAAAATATAATTTATTTTTAAAAATGTTTACTGATTTTCGAATAAAATAAAAAACCTGAAACAAAAAATTAAATAATAAAATATGAACGAAATAGTATACAGGGTCCAACAGACCTTTGTTGCAGTTCTATATTTTCTACTGTCTATTTAAACATAACTGTCAATGGGGGTCAAAATCATGTATACAGGGTCGTCCAATAGTAAATCAGTCAAATAGCTTATTTTAAATGGAATAACTAGGTTTTTTTTTACAATTTTAGGTACTTTATAGTCTCTAGTACACACCTACAAAATATTATTTTTAATATCCCACCCTATTCGGAGAAAAAAAGTACATTTTCATTTTCCTATTTAAATGTTTTGTTCTCTCAGACTTAACGTTAGAATCTAAAAAAACTACAAATGTATAAAGCCAAAACACAATATTTTTTTTAGATAAGTCTAATTTGTTTATTTTGTATAGGGTGATAAAAAATTAATTTAATTTTTAAATAAATTTTAATAATTTTCAAAATTTTCACTATTCATCAACTGATGGCAAATTAGACTATCTCTTTCATATATTTTCCTATTTCTATGTCGTCTTCTAAAAATAAATTCGCGGTAGAGAAAAAGCCGGTTTAAAGGAAATTACAATAATAAAATTTATTTGAAAATTAACTGAAAATATTTTGTAAAATATGCTCAAAATGTCGGCCATGTTCTTTAATATACACATTTATTCGTTCAGCGAATGATCAAGAGAAGATTTTAAGCATATCAGGTGTAATGAAATAGAAAGCTTACACTATCCTTTCTTTCATGCCTTTGGGTGTTGTAAGTGGCTTTAGATGGACAAAATTTTTAATATAACCCTATTTACATTTTAGTAATTTTAGAACATGAACAATAATTATTAAAATACAAACTTTGTCAAAACCATGAGAGTAAATCGAGTGTTATCAAGGGTACTTTTTTGTACTAAATGAGTACCCAATCCAAATTTCATACTCAAACCCATTTTCTGCCATTGGCGTAGAATTTTTAAAGGTGCAATTTAAAAAATCAAGTTCTACGTCTATGTATTATTATCGGACAAAATTTTCATACCATTTTTTTTTGCCACATAAAACTCTACCAATATACCAAATTTCAGCAAAATCGTATATGCCGTTTTAAATTTATATGGGAAAAACGATTTAAAAATTATAACTTCAAGGCCCTCTGGAGCCCAAACGAAGCAACTTTGTACTAAGGTAATTTTACTTAAATCGACTTATTTTGGTCTAAGGAATATGTGGTATGTTTTTGTAAAGACCTTTTACAGACACTTTGTATAAAACAGTCAGATTATCGATCAGACCATTGCAACTGTTCATGTAATTCAGCTGCTACCTCATGTAAAAAATGCGCTTCTGTCCTATCATACTAGTATCCATAGATCTAGTATCATCTTGTTTGTCTTACAGCCAGGATAACGTTTTCAAGTAGAGCAAGAAGATGATTTGCTAAAAAATCTAAATGCATTGGACCATTTAGGTTGTAATAACATGATCTCCAATTATACGTCCCTAAACATATCTTTCCTGACTATGTGTTCTGATGATTATAGGATTTTTGGTGGAACAATAATGGGCATAACTCTTGTGGGATACAGATTCATTAAAAACGGCACTACATCAAAAAAAGTTGGATTTTGCTGAAGTTAAGATTGTGTCCAGTCAGCAAACTGCATTTGTTTATCAAAATCAGATTCCTCCAGCTCTTGATTTTGATTTTGTGAGATTGATAATGATGTTATTTTAAAATCTTTCAATATATCTTTTACTTATACCACACAAGTCGGATATAGATATCCCTGGACAATAAGTAGTCCGCCTTGGGTGTTTTTATAAACACAGAAAGTGCTTTTTGCCAAAACACCTTCCTCAAGATAATACACTCACTAACCAAAAAGAACGTTCCACAGATGATTAGTGGGTGGCTACAAAACATGCTCTCAAAGCAAACAGTAAACATAAGTGAAGAAGATGTGAATATAAGAGGCTTTGCTGCGATAGAATTTCTACAGGGAAGGGTGCTATCACCTCTACTGTGGAACATGTTCCTGGTTACTCGAATGTCACGAAGCTTTGGTCACAGTATCCATCAATAATATCACCTTAAGATGGATCAAAGGTCGCGCTACATGGAAAGGTAACCCATCTTGCTGATTCACACCATCTGACCTTTTCCCAAAAGTACTCAAACACTTCGCAATTGTAGAAAACACGAAGGTGCCTCTTTACTTGAATAACTACGAGTCATGCATATCTGTGAACGCGATGATTAAATTGTACGGAGGAAAAGGGATCATTTTGCTTTCTGTTCCGCCTCATACGACCCACAGAACTCATCCATCACCTTACACTGTGCTGTGGTTGTCATAAGTAAAAGTAGGAACGTTTTAAACATGTCACTACGAGTCACGAAAGGGTTCGAGAAGGTTCAAGGGAGCTATACAGTGCGTCCATAAAGTAACGCATAAATTCATTATTGGCTAAATGAACAATAAAATTAGGAATTCCCAAAACAGGTCGATTTTTGATTTCAATTTACTATTGTTTCAAATCATAATCTAATGTACAGGGTGAACCACTTTCGTGTAATGACGTCATCATCATTTTTTTCAAATGGACCCCCCCCCTTTTTTTTCAATTTCCAAATTGCCTTTGCTGAGCTGATTCCAAAAATGTATATGTTGCTTCAAATTGGTACAGGGTGGGCAAAAATGCAAAAATTTACTTACAAAGTAATGAAAATAACGAATAAACGTAATAAACACATTAAATGAAGTTACGTATTGTTATTACAACTACTTTGATAAACTATCAAGAACATACAGCATTATTCTTAATAATTGTATCTTACAGCTTTTATTAGTGATCCAAGCCCCTGGACTATAAAAATCTTTTTGTTTGGCATTATCTTTTACCAGTTTTTTTTTTATTTGACATACCAGTTTTTTTTATTTGACAACACTGTCAAAAACATTGAAGCACAGTTTCGTATTGTTAACGCTGTAGAGAAGGTACGTTCGTGAACTTTTTTTACAAAATGCCTTTAACCGAAAGTGACAGGATTGAAATATTAATGATGATTGGTATTGGCGATAAGATGCGGACTCAACAAGAGGTATGCCGATTATTCCATGAAATGCACCCAGATCGTGAACCTATTTCACAATCTACGGTAAGTAGAATAGAGCGAAAATACAGAGAATTAGGACATGTGAGGGATGCAGCAAGGCAAGGTAGACCAAAAATTGATGAAAATATTCAACAAGACATAATTTTGTCGGCTGTAGAAAATTCACACTGTACAGTGCGAGGATTATCTAGGGATTTTGGTATTGGAAAGTCTTCAGTATCAAACATTTTCAAAAAGGTAAAATACCATCCTTATAAAGTACGTCTCATCCATGAATTGGCTGAAGACGACTTTGACCGAAGAACTGAATTCTGCGAGTATATGATGAACCAAAATAACAATTTCATTGATAACGTTTTATTTTCGGACGAGGCAACGTTTTATTTGAACGGTCATGTTAACCGGCAAAACACCCGTTATTGGTCTGATGAAAATCCACACTGGATGCAAGAGTACCATACGCAAAGACCACAAAAAACTAACGTATGGGCTGGTATTGTGAGAAATACAATTATTGGTCCATATTTTTTCGATGAAAACTTAACAGGAGCATTATATCTGGATTTCCTACAAAATACATTAATTCCTGATCTGATCCAGCTTTTTCCTGATATTCAAATACCCACTAATGTAGACCGCAGAATCTGGTTTCAACAGGATGGCGCACCGCCACATTACGCAGTAGCTGTGCGCAATTTTTTAAACACAACTTTTCCACAAAGGTGGATAGGAAGAAGGGGACCAGTGGAATGGCCTGCTAGATCACCTGATCTGAACCCATTAGACTTCTTTTTATGGGGTTATTTAAATCTAAAGTCTACTTCAACAGACCTGGAAATATCCCTCAACTACAAGACCGAATCAGACAAGAAATACAGAGCATAACACCCGCTATGCTACAGAATGTTAGAGACGAAAGTAATGCCCGGTTCAGTCATTGTCTAACGGTCAATGGAGAACAATTTGAACATTTATTGTAAATTTTCGTTCGTTTGTTTTTGGAAGTGTATCACATTAATTGCATAACTACATAATTCCATTTAATTTGTTTATTACATTCAGTAACGTATTACTTTCCATAAACAATTTTCATATTTTTTTTTCTGGGTATGTCAAATAAAAAAAACTGGTAAAAGATAATGCCAAACAAAAAGATTTTTATAGTCCAGGGGCTTGGATCACTAATAAAAGCTGTAAGATACAATTATTAAGAATAATGCTGTATGTTCTTGATAGTTTATCAAAGTAGTTGTAATAACAATACGTAATTTCATTTAATGTGTTTATTACGTTTATTCGTTATTTTCATTACTTTGTAAGTAAATTTTTGCATTTTTGCCCACCCTGTACCAATTTGAAGCAACATATTATACATTTTTGGAATCAGCTCAGCAAAGGCAATTTGGAAATTGAAAAAAAAGGGGGGGTTCCATTTGAAAAAAATGGTGATGACGTCATTACACGAAAGTGGTTCACCCTGTATATTAGATTATGATTTGAAACAATAGTAAATTGAAATCAAAAATCGACCTGTTTTGGGAATTCCTAATTTTATTGTTCATTTAGCCAATAATGAATTTATGCGTTACTTTATGGACGCACTGTATAAGTTGATAATCGGGATATCACAGTTCAGTTTCATAAGAGACGTTGCACGCAGCTGTTCATAATTGTATATTATAAAAATTTGAGTTTGCAAATCAATTGAATTTACCAAAAACCATCGTAACATTTGGTGACAGCTGTGGGATACAAGATAAAAAGTACCTAAGTATTATATTCATGGTAAATACTAGATCCACTGCATGTGAATTATGTGAATTGAAGAGTCAACGACTATTTTTCTTAGAAACTGTTATCGCGTATCTTATATCATTATTCTGGTTTGCAACATTTTTGTGTGAATTATTTACTTGTTAATTAGATCTCTTTGTAGTTAAATGTATTGTTAGATGAAATAAAACTTTTTTAAAAAACGAATTTTAAGATCAGAAAACATTTGTCACGGGTACTTTTTGATCCACCCTCGTATATAAAGAACAAAAAAAAAGTAGTTTTCATATTAACATTATTCTTAGTAAAAAGAAAAATTCATACCTGGTTTCTCTCCAACTCTTGTACCAACATCTCAAGCTGCGATTGCAGCCTTTCTTTTTCTGTCGTAGAATTTTTAACTTCCGTATACGCTTTCTCTAATTCTTTTCTTAACCGCGCTGTCTCCTTGTCATCTTGCGGAGCCGGTTGTATTCCTCGTTCTTTCTGGTACAGCGCCATTTGTTGAAGTTGCTGTTGCAACTGCTTTTCCATAACTTGTATTCGTTTCTGCAAATCTTGAGCTGTCTTCTCCGCCTGATCCGCCCGATCGGTTTCCTGTTGAACAACTTTCCTCCATTGCTCCAATTCTGAGTCGCCTCTCGCGCCGGATTCGTGTAGAAGTTTTTCTGCTTTATCGGCTCTTTGACGATGCGTATCTCGTTCTTTTTGTATGACTTGAAGTTGTTGTTGTAATTTAGTGATTTCTTTGTCTCTATTTTCGATGACGTCTTTGGTGCCTCTTTCGATATCTTGCGACATTTTCTTTTGTTCGCTTTTCAGTCGCGCTACTTCGGCTTTTTGTTTTTCTAATTCCGATTCGCTGTGGTTTAGTTCTTGTTGGAAGTTCATTAGCATGTCTTGAGATTTTTCGAGTTGCATTACCAGCTGGTCTCGTTCCATAGTGAGTTGCTTTATGTCGGCTTCGTATTTGATTATTTGTTTTTCAATAGATTCTCCCTGACGACCTTGTTTGTCAAGCATTGCAATCATTTTCTCTCTTTCTCTAGATATTTGCGCCAACTCCTGTTGTAATTTAACAATAGTTTCTTGAGACCTGTGATCAATAGTTCTTCGTTGAGTATCCATTCCACTTCTGATTTGTTGGACTTCTGCGCGAAGGACGTCTCTTTCTTGCTCCATGGTTTTCCAATCCAAATTGTCGCGTTCTATTCTTTCGTGCATTCGAGCGAGTTCGTTTGCCATGCGTTCAAATTCAATCTTAGTAGCTTCATTAGTTTGCAAGGCGTTGGCTAAGTGTTGTTGGGATTTTTCGAGTTCTTGTGCAAGTCTACCAGCTTCTAATTCAGTAGCATCGCGAGCTTGAACGGCTTTTTCCAATTTTTCTTTCAACCTTTCTATTTCTAATCGCTCGTCATTTCTTACTTTATCTGCTGCTAATGTCTGTCGCCGTTCTGCTTGCGCAACTTCCATTCTCAATTTTTCGTTGTCTTTTTCTAGTTTATCAGACTGTAGTTTCAATTTCTCATATCTGTCTCGTAATTTTTCACATTCGATAACAGCGCGTTCCAATTCGTGACGTTGCTTTTCTTGACTGGCTGATACTTTGGCTACTTCTTGTCTTGCCAGATCTAATTGGATACTGACTTCGTGTAATTTGGTTTCGAGTTGTTGGTTTGTTGTAAGAGTTCGCTGCAGGTCATCTTTAATTCTCTCGTGTTCTGCGTTTCTTTCTTTTTCTTGTTCGTAAGTGAATTTGCCTCTCGTGGTTTCTAGATGTGCAAGCTCTTTTCTAGATCTGTCTAAATCTCCTAACGTCTTGTCAAGTCTCTCTCTTAATCTGTAAAAAGAAGTGCAGTCATTTTATTTGCAGAAGTTCAAGAGGTAGGTATTTTATTTATACCTCATCCTTCAATGCTTATTTAATTATCAATTTGTACAACAGTTCGCTTGTTACCTTCAAATAAACAACACCAGTTTCTCAGCGCGACTGATAGCAACGATAAGTTTACAGTTTAACACCAAAGTCTCTAAAAAAATGTCTAGTTCAAGTGATAGGGAAAAATTCTCCGGATCAAAATATCTCCACGTCAACGAAATGAGAATACAACGAGCTGCTAAAGAATTTACAGCAATTAAATAAAGAATCTCCAAAAAAAATCTAATAGATAAAAACGGAGAAATGAGTGACACCTTCAAAAAACCAGTTAAAGATAACGAAGGATATTCCAAGAATAAAACACAAACCAAGTTCAGTTTAAACTATGATTAAAAAACTGGCCCTTAGAGAACAAATCTTCACTCTGGTACCAACTACGTTGCTGGTTTTCAATGTACAAACAAGAAAATTGAACAATAAAAATCTGTCATTCTCCTGTTGGACATCAAAAAAGTCTTGTATTTCGTTATTATTGTTCCAAAATAAAGAATTTTGAAACATACAAAAGACGGTCCTGTGCTCAAAAAAAGCCAGGTGTTTATTCTTAACGGCTATTACGGGCGGACGTGACAAAAATCAGGCAGCTCGCATGCAAAACTAGTCGGAGTGACGTAATCATACGTCCATCTCTTTCGTAAAAACATAAAAAGCCGGCAGAGCGATTCGAGCTTTCTCACAGTAAGGATCGTCTCTCCCATACATAGAAAATACAAAATACTTTGAGCAACGATAATGTAAAACCTAGTACTTAAATATGTAAGCAGTAGTTGTCAATTAATTGGCAATTAATAGTTGGCAACCCTAGCTGAGAAGATCAACAGAAAGGAGTGCGTATAAAATCAATATTATTTATGACAAAATATGTCCATAGTTGCAATTATTTTATTTCTTATTAATATAGTTGGTGATGTCCATCAGATGTCCAAAAGCAATACAAAAAGAGTCCATATATTAACCTCTAAATGGACGTCCAGGAGTGGGACATTTGTAAAGTCTAATAGATGTCCTTTGGTAAAATGCTGGACGTCCTTTGGGTAGCCGATAAGTTCATCAATGGACTTCCGATGGACATCCAATGGATTGACTAGTACTGTCTGAGTAGCTGATGTGCCCAAGAAAAATTCTAATGATATATTAATTTGTGTAGATTTCAAGAAAACTTTGAACACAGTCATAGATAGTGATCATTGTGTCCTACCATCACCTAGTGATATATATGCAAGTCTTGCAGGTAGTAAATATTTTACAGTGATTGACCTTAAAGGTGCCTATCAACAGTTAGAGATACCCATATGGGACTCTTCAGATTTAATAGGTTAACATATGGGGTTAGCTCAGCTCCAGGTATTTTTCAAACATTTATGGACACCATATCGTCAGGGTTACCTAATATCAAATGCTATTTAGACGATATTTTAATTTACGGTCCCACACTACATAAATGTCATAATAAGGTCACTAAAGTCTTGTCTCTTCTCACAGAGTTGGAAATTCTATAAATACTTTTACTAATGATCAAAACAAATCACTAGTTACAATTGTTGGCACATATGAACCTTTCATATGGACGTCCAGGAGTGGGATATTTGTATATTCCAAATGATGTCCATTGGATGTCCTTCGGTAAAATGTTGGACGTCCTTTAGATAGCCATATGTCCATCAATGGACTTCCGATGGACATCCAATGGATTGACTTGTGCTATCTGGGTAATGTTTCGTCTACTTCCTCCCAGGACTCAATCCTCGGTATTGGTCCTAGATTGCTTAACAAAATTCGTTTGAATTTTGTCTAATCTGTCTTTGACACTGTTCTAGACATGTTTATGCCATCACCGTTCCTTTATGTAGAGAATACATTTCCTGTTGGAAATTGTATTATCTTATCACGGCAATGTCAATTAGGTCTGGTAGCCCATTACCAGGGTAGTGAGCATCTAGGATTGTTTGTCATTAAGGTTTTCAACATTCTACTTCTTGGGTTTTGAATTCTGCTGTTCCACAATGGGAATTTTAAATATAAATCTCCAATTAGTACTCCTGCCTCCTCCAGAGGCAGGGCAGCGTCTATATCCCCCTTGTGCAGGTCTGAATTAGGTCTAACGTAGGCTGAAACTATTCATAGAACTACGTGCAATGTTGTAGCTTGGTGGTTGTTTCTGTATACATAACAATGATGGGTCGCTTTGAAAAGTCCACGGACTAGTCTGAAAAGTTGACTAGTCCAAACACACTTTTCAAAAGTGGGAAAGTCTTGATTTCTTACAAATAAAGGCAAAATTTAGTTTAAAAATCTGATGTGTCCAACACATGACTTTCCTATCTAGTTATTACAGGCTTTTTCCGGTTATTTTGTACAACCTATTGCAGCATCTCTATAAATGTTTAGAGGATAAACTAAATATATACATTGTCCACATACATCTACCGCGAAACATTTTTCTATAGATATTCATTGAAAATGAAAATACTGAAAAATTTAAATTTAGCACTTTTCTTACAATTTTTCCATTACGGTCCATTTTAAAAAAATCATGTATGAACAAATATTATAGAGATGGATATCGCAAACAACTTTTATTTCAACAATTTTCATAAAAATCAGAATTTTGCACATTTTGTCAAATTTTTCGAATACGGACCATTTCAGGAAATTTTTACATAAAGCAAAAATTATAGATAATAATATTAGAAGTAACTTTTATTTGAACAATTTTTTTCTCCAAACATAAATAACAGATATATTCCATAAAATATAAAAACGGCCTCCCATAAAGTACCCCCCAGATGTTCCGACTTTGTCCAAAATCTAATCATTGCACGTCAGGCCGAAATAAAACTTAATTTTAAAATTTAATGTTTTTTTCTTTATCCGTTTTTGAGTTTTCTTCAAATTTCGAAATTTACACATTTTCTCAAATATCTCGAATACGGTCCATTTTAGAGAAATTATCTATAGGATAAAAATTATAGAGAATTATATTACAAACAACTTTTGTTTGAACAATTTTTATAAAAAAAAATATTTTTTTACATTTTGTCAAATTTCGCGAATACGGACCATTTTAGGAAAATTTTGTATATAACAAAAATTATAGATAATAAAATAAGAAGTAACTTTCATTTGAAGAATTTTCTTCCCCAAACGTAAATAACAGATATATTCCATAAAATATAAAAATGACCACCTATAAAGTACCCCCCCAGATGTTCCGACTCTGCCCAAAATCTAATCAGCTCATTAGACGCTGGAACAAAGCTTAAGTTTGAAATTTGGTGTTTTTCCGTGTATCGGTTCATGAGTTATGCGTTATACAGACACACACACACACACACACACACACACACACACACACACACACACACACACACACACACACACACACACACACACACACACACACACACACACACACACACACACACACACACACACACACACACACACACACACACACACACACACACACACACACACACACACACACACACACACACACACACACACACACACACACACACACACACACACACACACACACACACACACACACACACACACACACACACACACACACACACACACACACACACACACACAGACACACACACACACACACACACACACACAGACATCATCGCGAAAATAGTCAAAACGGATTCAGGGGACCTCAAAACGTAAAAATCCGTCGAAAACTCGAGGTCGAAAAAAATCATGATTCCTATACTTTCCTTATATCTGTATACAGATAGGAAAGTAAAAAAGAAGAAACACCAAACAATGTTTTCGAATTTTCGTTTCCTATTTTATTAAAATAAACTCGTGAAAAAATGACCAAAAAATCTAAAGGTTGGAAAGTATTTTATAAATGATTTGTCTAAAAAAACAAAAATACAAAGTATTGTTGGAGATTTAACTGTGTATCTTCTATGCTCAAGGCAGATTACTTTTTATCGCGACTTTTCATTACTTTTCACTTGTCCGGACATGTCCGTCGGACTAGTCCAAAAATTACTTTTCATGAAAAGACCCATCTCTAATACATAATAACCAGGACATTGTAGGTTATATGTATCTGTGATTTTTGTTTCTACGAGAAAACTAAGAAGCCCTAGAAAAATTTCGAGGTAATTTTCGGCTTTTCCAAACCCAAACAGTCAGTAAGAAGATTTTTCAAGGTATTTTGAGTTAAAATACCCACGTGCGCAAAAAAAGGCGCGATAAATTGAAAATCTAACTTCTAAAGGAAAATTCGCACAAACTTTTAGAGGCCATTTTATTTCTTTTCATGACATTCTAAGGTATTCCACGACCTGAAATGTCATAATTAGTCGACCGTTTGGAAAATATTTTTTTTTTTTTTTTCGAAAAGAAGACCTCTCCAGGAGATGGGTGCAGATAAACCATTTCTGAGGCCATAATATTTGAGATATGACCATAATATGGTGGAGGCTCGGAAAGTTTTTTTGGTATTCGATAAAATGTTCTTTCATTAATAATGCCATGAAAGAACATTTTATCGAATACCAAAAAGACTTTCCTGATCAATTCCTCTCTGATACAGTTAACAATTTCTAAAAAAAAAAAAATCGTCTAAAAACAGAACTGCAAGTACTTTACGAAGAGTTGCAAACCATTTTACTGTGTAGGTTTGGAGTGCAATAAATTACTATCCAAAGCTAAATTCTGGTAAGTTTTATGTTATTTATTATTTTGTAAAAATACTGTTAAAATAAATGTTTAATCATACCTGTCAATTTCAGCACGCAGTCGATCACTATCATCTCTGGTCCTATCATCTCGATCGTACTTAGAGAACCTGTCTCTTCCAGGAGCAACAGATTCACGTAAAGCATCGTATTCAGCAATAATTTTCCTGAACTCAACTTGTAATTTATCGTGTTTATCTCGAGCTTTTTCTACTTCTACTTGAAGCCTGGCGCTTTCTTCTTGCGATTTTTCGTAACTGGCTTGTAGTTTTCCAAGTTGACCGTGCGTTCTTTCGATTTCGTACTGCATTCTCTCGTTATCGGCGAGGAGTTTTTCTTTTTCACTTTGCAATCGGCGTATTTCAATTTGGGATTTTTCGTATCGGTCGCGTACCATTTCTATATCGATGTTCATTCTTTCTAGTTCTTCTTTAGATTTTTCTTCCAATTCTTTAGATCTATAAACATTAAACGATTAGAAAAAGAAAATTAAATATAAATCTATTATAATACCTTCCAAGTTGCATAGCGACTCTATCATACATTTCTTGAATTCTTGTCACTTCATCTTGAAGTTTTCGTTGATCTTCTCGAAGTTTCGTGGCGTGAATTTGTTGCTTTTCTAATTCTATTTCGAGTCGATCTTTATCGGCTTGAACAGTATCCAATTTGTTTTGTAATCGATAAACGTCACCCTGCGATCTGCAAACAATAGAAAGTTAATTGTATATAGCATAGGTTATGGACCCAGGCTACGTACAACAAATTTGTAGTCTGCAAGAAGATATATTTTCATCGATATGGCGGAGGCGGAGACAAAACTAAATGGGGAAAATTATTTTATATGGAAATATAAAATTGAGCTTCTTCTGATTAAGAAGGATCTGTAGGATTAAGAAGGATAATGAAGCAAGGGCAACAATTTGTCTATCCGTAGAGGATAACCAATTGATTCATTTGCGAAAGGCAAAAAGTGCCAGAGAAGCGTGGAACAGTTTAAAAGAATACCACGTAAAGTCAACTCTCAGCAATAAGGTTTCATTGATGAGAAAGATATGCAGTTTAAGGTTAGAAGAAAATGGAAATATGGAGGAACATATAGAAAGGTCGATACTCGATTTGTCCGATTTAGAACTCCGAAAAAAAGATTATTCCAACTCAGAACTCAGAAAAAGCGATTTTTCTTACTTAGAACTCGACAAAATAGATTATTCAGACTTATATAACTCGGAAAATAGATTATTCGGACTTAGAACTCAGAAAAATAAATTATTACGACTTAAAAACTCGGATAAATAGATTAGTCCGATTTAGATACTCGGAAAAATCGATTTGTCTGAATTTAGAACTCGTAAAAATAGATTATTCCAACTCAGAACTCGGAAAAGGCGATTTTTCTTACTTAAAACTCGAAAAAATAGATTATTCTGACATAAAACTCAGAAAAATATATAAATACCAACTCAGAACTCGAAAAAACCGATTTTTCTTACTTAAAACTCGAAAAAATAGATTATTCCGACCTAGAACTCAGAAAAATAAATTATTCCGACTTAGAACTAGAAAAATAGATTAATACTAACTCAAAACTCGGAAAAACCGATTTTTCTCACTTAGAACCCGAAAAAATAGATTATTCCCATTCAGAACTCGGAAAAACCGATTTTTGTTACTTAGAATTCGAAAAAATTGATAATTCTGATTTAGAACTCGGAAAAAAGAGGTTATTTTGACTTGGAACTCAGAAATATAGATTATTACGGCTTAGAAACTCGGATAAATAGATTAGTCCGACTTAAATACTCGGAAAAATCGATTTGTCCGATTTAGAACTTGGAAAATTAGATTATTCCAACTCAGAACTCGGAAAAAGCGATTTTTCTTACTTAAAACTCGACAAAATTGATTATTCCGACATAAAACTCGGAAAAAAAGATAAATGCCAACTCAGAACTCGGAAAAACCGATTTTTCTTACTTAGAATTCGAAAAAATTGACTAGTCTGATTTAGAACTCTGAAAAAAGAGATTATTCCGACTTAGAACTCAGAAAAATAGATTATTACGACTTAGAAACTCGAATAAATATATTAGTCCGACTAAGATACTCGGCAAAATCGATTTTTCCGATTTAGAACTCGGAAAAATAGATTATTCCAACTCAGAACTCAGAAAAATCAATGTTTGTTACTTAGAATTCGAAAAAATTGATTATTTTGATTTAGAACTCAGAAAAAAGAGATTATTCCGACTTCGAACTCAGAAAAATAGATTATTACGACTTTAGAACTCGGAATAATAGATTATTCCAAATCAAAACTCGGAAAAACCGATGTTTCTTACTTAAAACTCGACAAAATTGATTATTCCGACATAAAACTCGGAAAAATAGATAAATACCAACTCAGAACTCGGAAAAACCGATTTTTCTTACTTAGAACTCGAAAAAAATAGATTATTCAGACTTAAAGATTTCGAAAAATAGATTATTACGATTTAGAACTCAGAAAAATAGATTATTCCGACTTAAAACTCGAAAAAATAGATTATACCAACTCAGAACTCGGAAAAAACATTTTTTCTTACTTAGAACTCGAAAAAATAGATTATTCAGACTTATAGATTTCGAAAAATAGATTATTCCGATTTAAAACTCAGAAAAATAGATTGTTATTCCGACTTAAAACTCGAAAAAATAGATTATACCAACTCAGAACTCGGAAAAAACGATTTTTCTTAATTAGAACCCGATAAAATAGATTATTCCAATTCAGAACTCGGAAAAACCAATTTTTGTTACTTAGAATTGATTATTTTGATTTAGAACTCAGAAAAAAAAGATTATTTGAAAAATTAGCTGCTTTTGGAGAAAATTATTTCAGAAAAGTGCTGCTAAGTAGTTTACACGTGTACACGTTCATAGATAATCTTACCATTAATCTTGTTCAATCATCAATTATTGAAGAGTACAAACGAATAAACTCAGAACCCCTAACAAATCAATCAGCTTTAAGAACAGTTGTGTCACCCAATCAACTTCTTCAGTTAAATGTTTCTTCTGTCACAAGAATGGTCATTTAAAGAAAGATTGCAGAACAAGTTAATGAAGAAGAAGAGTACTGTTTCAATACAACAACTGTAACAAAAGATGATGGAGCTTCATGCCATATTTGCAATTCTAAAGTTTTTTTTCTTTGATTAGAACAGAGCATGTAGTTATAGTTGCCAATCGCATTGAGAAAACTTCTGATGGGGTCAGTTCGGTCAAAATAAAGTTTTTAAATAGAATATATTACAAAACGTTTTGTTTGTACCAAATATGGATAGGAATTTGTTATCTGTTAAAAAATTGATACAGGAGGGGTATGGGGTAACCTTTACTACTAATGGATGTCAAATTAAAAAAGACGATAAAGAAATAGCAGTAGCGTATTTGAAATCAACACTTTATGTACTAAAGTAGACAGAAGAAGTTTACTTGGTTAGTAACTGCGCTGGCATCGAGTTTTAGGCCATTAAATTATTGGATAGAAGTGAACTCGTAGTTTTAGCTAGCTAGCAAAGATAATCCACAGCTTTCAAATGAAAATTACTAGAAAGTAATTGGAAGTTTGCTTTATATATCAGTAAATTCTCGTCCTGATATTACAGCAAGCGTTTCAACTTTGGCTAGAAAAGTAAGTAACCCCTCTCAGGAAGATTGGTTAGAAGTTAAACGAGTTGAAAATACCTTAAGTGAACAAGAGATTTGAAGCTGTTCTTGAGTTCTTCTGATCATACGAATGATGACAAAATTAGTTGGATATTCAGATGCAAACTGAGCTGAAGATAGAGTGGACAGAAAATCGAACAGCGGTTATATTTTTAAGTACAATGGTGGAACAGTAAGCTAGTGTTGTAGAAAACAGTTATGTGTTTCACTTTCTTGTACATAAAACTTTTCAGGAGGCGGTATGGCTGGAAAAGGTACTAACGGGTCTTCAGGAAGGTATAGATAATCAAAATTGTTTAAAACTAAACATATTGACACCAAATTTAATTTTGTTGAAGATTAATTTAAACAAGGACTTGGATATTGTCCAAGAAAAAGAAAAATGTCGCGGATTTATTGACAAAACCACTTCCTGCAAAAAGATTAGTCTTTCTTAGAAAACTATGTGGATTAAGGCATCACTTTTTTAATTCTTCTGCACATCTCATATAAGAACAAACAAGACCTCAAATTCTAATATATACATACCGATCGTATTTTTCAAGTAACTTGTCAAATTCTTTATGAACATTCTCTCTTTCATCTATCGCTTTCTGTGAAGTATAGATTGCTTTATCTAGTTTTTCTTTTAATAATTCAATCTCGGAAAGTGCATCGTCTCTTTCGATTTGGAGTTTTTGTTGAGTGGAATGCGTTTTTTCCCATCTGTCTTTAAGAACGTCCAATTCAGATTCGATATCGGCCCTTTCTCTCTGTACCTTTGAAATTTGAGAAAGCTGCATTTCCACACGTTCTTTAAGTTTTTCGCAGTCATCTTGGAAGCCGTCTCTCTCTTTTTGAATTCTCGAAATAGCGGTCTAAAAATATACAAAAAATTACATTTTTTGAACACGAGAGAAAAGGCTAAGTAAAAATCATAAACACACGTACTGGTATTATTATATTTTCGTCTAAAGTCAGGTACCAGCTCTATAAACCAAACTAAAGTAATTTGTTTCGAAATAAAAATACAACTCACTTGAGTTTTCTCCACTTTATCTCTCAGCCGATCTGCCTCTAATTGAGCCGATTCTTTTTCTTTCTGCAGACGAGCAGACTGGCCGAGAACCTTGTCCAATTGCGATTGGATGTTCTCTAAGTCGTATGACACTTTTTCTTTCTCCAGTTGTATCTGTAACAACATAAATAATTAATATTCACTAAATATAAGATAATACGCAGACAAATTTTATTTAAAGTACAAATGAATATAAATTAATGATATCTGTCAATATATTTTTATTGATTAAATTTTACAGTTACTTTTGCCTTTAGTTGCCACTGATGACAGCTTACTACAAGTTTTGGTTAAGCACGCCACTGCGCCGTAGGCTATGATAAGTCTTATCGCCCTTAGATCTGTTTCAGCAACGATCCGAAACCAATCATTGACACCAGGATTCTGAGCAGTAGATTATTTAGACCGTCAACTCTATACTTTGGGGTTAAGAGTTAAATAAAGTACTCACCCTTCTGGTCTCTCCAAGTGACTTGTCGAGTTTTTCTTGCAACTTGTCCACTTCGGTCTGTGCTTTGTCTAGAGCGTTCTGTAGTTTGTCTTGTTGTGATTGAGCCTTTCCCAAGGTCGCCGACGTACGCTCCAGTTCTTCGCGAGCCTTCTCCAATTCCGCATACGCTCGATCTTTGTCCGAATGCAGTTTGGCTGTGCTGGATTGCGCTCTCTCGAATTCCTCCCGAAGACTCTCCTGCTCTTGATGAGAGTTTTCTAGCCGGGCCTTCAAACAAAACAAATAATGAGAAATAATTACCATTTAAAAAATAAGTCAATAGCTAAGAAGACAAAATAAAATGTCCATTTTTGTTTTCTAAAATTGTCGATATTACATTTTTTTATACCTTTACATATATTGTTTTTCTTTTATATCATATCTAAACGCATACATTTTCGATCTTAAACCAACCCATTCTCTAATTGGAATTCCTAAGTATTCATCTTTAAATAAGCCTGAAACTTTCTTATTTTTTTGAGGCTTCCAATCTATTAAATAATCTGATGTATCAAAATATTTCATATTTTCTTTCGTGTCATCATAAACGTCATTCGTTAATAATTTTATTATTGTATTTAGTTTGTAAGTAAATAAATAAAATTTATAGAATAATAATTTTGATACCACTATAGACTGGTTTATTAAGTTTTACTTTAGTTTTTTATTAATATAAAAGGACATTGTCTTTATCAATTATTGTTATGGTTTCGTATTCTTTATGTTTCTCGAAACTAGGTAGTGTTCTTGATCTTACATTTTCTATTTGTTTTCCGTACACCGCAATTATTCATTAGTTTGTAAAAATCTTTTACAAAATCTAATGTATTTTTTAACTTCTTTTAAAATGATTCCTTGACTTAAACATTCTTTTAACATTCTGAAATCGATAACATAATCTTTCTTTGATTTTAGAGTATTTATTAATTTTGTATTTTTAGGTTTCGTTCCAATATTATTATCAATCATTTATTTTTGATATGTCAATAACTCATCATAATCAGGTACGTAATGTTCTGGAAGTAATGGATAGTCTTTAAATTTATCATGTAGTTCTTTGGGAACCTCTAAATCTACAATAAATGTATATCCATATGTATTATTATCTTTTAACTTTAAAATCTTCTCTGAAGTATAGTCGCTAGGTTTTATTTTTAAGCCTTTGAGTTCTGAATCAGTTTTTATTTCATCTTCTCTCTCATTATATCCAACAAATTTTCCGAGTGCTATTGGTTGTGATAACGCATTTCCATATAAATTATTTGTGTCTAAATACGTGATATAACTAATATATTTTTTGCCATTATATATTTCTTTTTCCTCAGCTTTTTCTTTACTTAGTTTGATTATCTTATAACTTTTTTTCGTCATAGAATTAACATGTCTATTTGGAATCATTGATATTCCACCTCTAATTCCACGTCCATATGTTTCGTATAATTTTTGATCTGTTATTAATTCTAATGTTTGATGTGTTTCTTTTAATGATGCTGAATCTGCTAAATTGAGAGCTGAAATATAGTAAACAGGATCTAATTTATAATTCTTATAGCATGTTTCTCTAAAGTTGTCAAACACATCTTTTAATAAAACCGTATCTACAATTTTTACATTCAAAATGATTATAAACTTCTTTAGCACAGTTAAGGTCTGCATCCTTTATATGTTTATCATTTAAAGTTAAATACCAGTCTCGTTCATTATAGAATTTTTGATAATCATCAACCCCACTCGTATGGATAAACACTTTTTCTTAAAACCATATGGAGGACCTCCTTATTAAATTCTTTCATGATAGATATTTTTGAATTTAGTGTATTCAACTGGTTTGCTTACTTTATTATCACATTTTTTATAGTTGATGATTAATTTTAAAACAATATTTTTATTAATAGATAGAAATTTAAAATTTATTATTTCTTGTTTAGAATTACATTTAGCACAATAACAGTTAAGATTGTTCACTGCTTTTTCAAGACTTATAAATCTAAATGTGTCTATAAATTTGAATTCCATTTTTACATCTTGAATTTCCACTTTTCGTTTGATAACCATTTTATTCCCACATCTACCACAAGTTTCGATAATTTTGTTGTATATTGGTTTTTTATTACATTTATTACATCGAGAATAGTCAAAGGGTTGTTCATATTTATCAACAATTACTTTCTTTGAGAACGTGATGTAGTTTTCTTTGGATTTTGGAATTATATTAATATCTGAATTGTTTTAACTCAATTCAAGAACCCATCTTAAAAATATCATTAAATCATATCTAAGATTGTGAATTTCAATTTTGGTAATGGTACATTTAAATTACAACTGTTACAAGCTGCTGCTCCTCCTCTGAATATTCCTGTAAAATGGTTATGATCCCTGACTTTTTGATCATCATTCTCGAAAACTTTATTACAAATGTGACACTTTTTTGCATTCATATATTCTATGAATGCATCATCGTCCCATTTTGTTTTCTAATTTGATTATATCGTTCTCCATAATAAATAAGTTGCTTATTAAATTCTTTCATTAGTATTTCTTTAATTACTTTTGTTCCACCAACTGTATGAAAGCAGAAACTGTTTGGAATATGTTCATGAATGTATCTTGTTGAATCTGTTATTGAATTATTTATTTTCATTCATTGTGTAGGGATGAAACTGTTTTGCACCGCTAGAGATATATATTTTCGTTGATTATTTTTTTATTTAGGCATTTCTACTATAGTCTTTTGATGAATACAAATTTGGATATGCTCATCAACATTTTCTTTCGTATTCAATGTTGCGTGACATTTGTTACATATATAGGTACTAGAGGTGTGTCGTTCGCGAACGATTCGTTCAAAAAGAACGAATCAGTGCACTGACTCGAATGAATTAATTCCCTGTTTTTAAAAGATTCGAATCTTTTTTGAGTCAATTGTTCGACGGCTCTGTGATCGATCAAGAACGCCCAATTCCGAGTTTGGTTGTTTCGTTCATTCGGATCTGATTCGAAGATTCGGTATTTTAAATCAGCATCGGCAAATCGGTCGCTTTTGTTCTACGTTCTACAGCATAATACAAGAACTCGAACTTACAGGCGGTGGCGGTATGTGTCTGTAATGTTTTTCTCACTTTACCAGAGGTGTATTAAACTTAGGTAAACAATTTATGCGCGTTGTCTGATAAATAAATTTAAATCAAAGTAAATAAGTAAAGCAATAAATGACGAATCATATATCTATAATTTTTCGTTAGTTTTGGCTATATTTAGCATTAAAAAAAATTGTATTACTGTTGTTTATCTTAACGGACAAGGATGAACCTACTATTACAGTATTTAAATTTCCATCTGTCTTCTTTTTATGAAATATTAATTCGCTATACTTTAAAATATCAAATTAAAATAAAACCGGTATTAATTATTTTACTTAAGCATCTCACCACTCAAATCATTACATTCTTTCTTACGCATTACAGACTGAACGCACTCGACGACCTAGTAAATAGGTAGAACAGAAGTAAAAGTTGGAAATGCTTTTGCCAGTTCTCCCACTTTATACACATAAATTGACAGGTTGTCAGCGGATCTCACCGAAGTGGACGCGATACATTGGCGTACAAAATTATTTTATAGATGTTAATAACAATTTCGAGTAAATAGTTTAATAAATTGTGAATAGCTGTTGAAATTTTGTAAAATTATAATTAGAATATTATAATACATGTTTAATAATTATTTATAATCCATAAATACATGCGATTGTCCGGTTCCGCCGATAACAATTTAAAATTACTTATTCTATGAAACGACACTGGCAGGTAAACATTACTGTGAAATTCTCGGAGTCGCCCGACGTGGTTTGACGTTTACCCCCTCTCTACCTACCAAAAGACTTTTCAACTTTTACTTTCTCTATAGTTCTCAAATTCGTAAACGTTCGGTTTGATTTCCTTCGACGGATCGGCGGAATAACATCGTTCGTGGTTCGCTAAAGTGAATCACTTGAGAACGAATCTTTAAGAACGAATCTTTTTAGGTGAATGAATCAAATGAATTAATTCAGTAAAAAGATTCGAACTTCCCACCTCTAATAGGTACATTAGATGCTGTCTTTTATGAATTTGTCCACTCAATAGAGTATTGAATTTCTTAATTCCAACTATATGATTTTCATATAATAGTAAATTAACATGTTTATCATATTTTTAATAATTGTTGCTTAATTATAAAAGGTTAAAAAAAGGTTTCTCAAATTTATAAATATTAATAGATATGTTTAGAAAGTTTTCATATTTTTGTATATTGTTTGGAATTATCTCAACTGGATAAAACATATTTAAACACTCATATCTTTTAATGGTATAGCAAGATGCACTATCAATTTCATCTCAGGTCACATACTATGCAGAGCGACTTCATTTGACAGTTCTTTTATTTTGCTTTGCAATCGAAGGTTTGAAAGTATATTTAGCATGTAATTTTTTGAAAAAAAATTACTTTAGAGTATATTATAAGGAATTTACTATTAATTACTAAATAATCTGCAAAAAACATACCTTGAGGCGGTATACTTCCCCCTGAGACTTTTCAAGTTTTTCTTGTAAAGCGGTCGCCTCTTGACGTGCTCTTTCGCTGTCCGCTTGAGTTACTCTGAGCTCAGCTTGACAACGTCTTAGGTCAGATGAAGTCTTGTCAGCCCTTTCTTGCATTCTACAATTAAAAATGTTCTATTAGCAAAACTACTGTAACTTAACTATTTTTCAAGAAAGTTTAAAAATAATCTTTAATAATATTCTGTTTTATTTAATCATGATCATTAATTTTTTTATCAATTTAAATAAATATTAGACAATTCAACGTTGTCATCGAAGAAAAAATATATGTTTAAATAAAAGAACAACACAGCTAATTTTATTGCCACATCAGGGTTAAACAAATTTATATTACTGTTTTATGTTATTTCCCATCAATACTTACCGATCTAGTTCATGCGAGCTGCTAAATGTTACTCTTCCGAAACTACTAGTAGTAGTGGTGGTCTGTGCTCTTTCGAGTTCGCCTCTCAGACGTTCGTTTTCCAGTTCTAATCGGGTCAATCGCTGCCTCGCCGCCTCCCAGTCTGCACCGCTCCTTCCAACCTCAACAGCGGCTTTATCGAGTTCGGCCTTGGATTTTCCCAACTCCGATTGAGAACTTTCCAACTTCGCTTCCAAGCGATCTCTGTCATTTTGTGCTCTAAAATAAATAAAAAAACTGGATTTAAAATGCCTGGTGTGCTACGAACCACAATAACCGTTTATATTCCAAGAATTTCTCAACTGCTTTTTAAAACTTGCAGCATTAGCAGTTGAATAAAAGTTTTTGTGACATTAAAAAGATCTGGTAACAATGGGTGAATAAAAATTGTTACTTTTATTTTCTAGTATTTCAATGATATTTTTTTGAAGAAAATTATGGAAGACTCCTATCGTTTTAATTAATTTAATTAAAAGAATAGACAAAAACTAAATGATACGCAAACTTCTCATTACAGTCGTTATTTTTGTTCTTAAGGAGAGAGTCTCCAAAGGATTTGCAGTCGAATTCTGTACTGCGGGACTGCCTAATTTTTAATTTCTAACTCCATAAGATAGAAAAACAAATTGCTCTCATTTTCATTGTTTTACAGTATAAGAAATATAAGATACAAATTTTAAAAATGCTGGAATTAAATTAAAATGATTTCACTTTCCCTAAGTAGATATTAAGTACCTAAGTCTAGACAATTTATTATTATAATACTTATTACAAGACTTAGAGAATCAAAGAAGTAGTTATTTGATTTTAAAATTCATAATGTTCATAGATTAAAGTTGTAAATCTTATTAAAGTATTAAGAAATAAAAATAATTTAATTTTGACTAACTGCATTCTAAGAAAAGTGAATTTTATTCTCATTAGAGAAAAGAATTGTGAACATCCCAGATAATTGCACAAAAAAAGAAACCTTATGAAGACGGGGAAATAATAAAACAGGCGTTTTTAGAAGCTGCTGATTCGTTATAATCTATGCAACTTTCTGCTAATACAGTGATGAGACGTGTAGAAGTAATGAGCAATGATATTTTTTTACAGTTAAGAACTGACTTAGATAACTGTGTTTATTTTTCACTTCAACTGGATGAATCAACAGATGTCGTTGACACTGCCCAGATGGCTGTGTTCGTCAGAATGGTTTTTAGTGATTTTACGATTATTCCACTGAAGAAGAAGATCTTTTGAAGTTTATTCCACTGAAAGGACACACTACTGGACAGGAGTTGTTTTCTCATTTAAAAAATATTATTTTTTCCGAAAAAATTCCAATATCGAAAATGGTAGGCTTGACAACCGATGGCGCTCCAGCTATGGTGGGTTGTGATAAGGGTCTGGTGGCGTTATGTCGTAAAGATGAAACAACGTTATGAAACTGGTGGTAAAAATTGTGAACAAGATTAGAGCTCAAGCGTTACAAAGAAGATTATTCAAAACCTTGGCCGATGAAGTTGACTGTCAATATGGGGACCTACTCCTTCACTCTGAAGTCCGATGGTTAAGTAGAGGACGGGTGCTGACCTATCTGGCATAGTTCAATTTTTCAAACAACGCGATGAACCGACTCCGGAACTAGAAAATTCAATCTGGCTTAGAGATTTTGGTTTTCTCGTGGACATTACATAGAAATTAAACGAACTTAATTTGCAGCTTCAGGGGAGAGACAAAGAACTAGCGGAAATGATTTCTGATATAAAAGCATTTATCAAAAAGCTGGAGTTTTGGGAACAAAACCTAATTAACAGCGATGCCAAGCATTTTCCTATTCTTTCAAAAAAAATATCTCAAAATCCATTAGAACCCTATGACAGCAAATATCATGTAGAAATAGTTTCTACCCTGAAGAATAACTTAAAAAATCGTTTTAAGGATTTCAACGAAATGGCTTTAGTAGCGCAGTTTGTTGTTTCACCCTTTATAATAATAATAATAATAATAATACTCTCCCTAATTCACCCCCTTACGAGTGAATTTTAACCCCAAAAGCTGAGCTTGTCCGGGGAAAGGGACGGCTATTATTATTATTTGCCGTGGCGCTCCGGGGCGACTTAAAGATGATTGATGGTGCCATTTGACTTACAGATGAGGAAAACCCGGAAAACCTCACCCACCATCATCGAGACGGTAATGTATGGCGAATTTTTTTAATCTGCATGTCATATCAACAGAAATTGAATTTCTATTAATACGCCACACATCAAATCCTAAACCGAACCATGCAATTTAATTAAAAATCCACATGGTCTGGTCTGGGATTCGAAACCCAGCAGTCTCAGACTCATAAACTTGCCTATAAATGAATATAAGCGCGATAGACCGCTACACCACCGTGCCCGATGGAAATTGATATCCAACAGTTTGCAACTTGTGTTATGCAGAACTTTGGCGAAGACATCGCTGCAACAGAAATGGAAGTAATTGAGTTTCAAAAGGATTTAGCCTTAAAATTGTTAGTCTCAAGTACCTAATGTATCTGGCCTATTGTAAGTAAAGACAAATATTCAGTTCTATGCCGTGTTGCCTTGAAAGTGAAAGCATTATTCAGTTCAACCTATTTGTGTGAATCTTCTTTTTCCAATATGAAGTTTATTAAGAACAAATATCGCAATCGACTTACAGATGAACATTTGGATAATTGTATACGAATGGCTGTATCAAATTATACTGCAAACATTAAAAAAATTATCGATGAGTCTGAGTGTCAGCCTTCTCATTGAACGTGCTTTTTTATTTTTCAATGTTTATGTTCATGATAGTGCGTTACTTTTTTGTTGTTATTATTAACTATTTTTAAATCTTACGTGACATGCCGTTGTGGCTGGATAAAAGTTTGTGTTTTTTTTTCAAACACCTTCGTTTGGTAGGTAGGAATGTAGCTATAAACAAGTACGTACTAGTAGAACATGTAGAACTAATGAGGTACGAGAAACGACATGCCTCTAAATGTATAAACAAAACTAGTAAAATATTCTGTATATTTATAGATTTTCCTATTTTAAAATCACTATAAATTTAAAACATCCAAGTTTGCAGTGGTCAGTTCGGAATATATAATCAAAAATCCATTTTTATATTTATTTGATGATCGCATGACACAAAATTGAAAACAGTATAATCAAGGATTGTCCATTTTTAAGCCGTTTTACATTTTTCATATTATCATTAATAAATAATAGTGAATGAAAAGTTTTCAACGGTATCTAATTTTAGAATTGTTTACATTAGAAATTGAAAATAAACTACCTACATTATTAATAGGGTATATGACATTTAGAGCATACACTAATTTTGTTGGATTACAGTAAGGCATTTGATACCTTAGGGAGAGAATTACTTTTAGCCAAACTGAATTATTATGGTTATTCTGCAGGATTGCTAAAACTATTAAAAATGTTTATATTCTATCTATAAAATTAAAATTAATTCCTTACCTATCTAATCTAGCTGAAAGTTTCTCAACTTCACTATTAAGTGCGTGTATTTTCATCTTGTACTCTGCTATTTCTCGTTCGTGCAGTTCTCGCTCCTCTTGCTTCTCTTGCTCGGCGCGATCCCTTTGCTCACGAAGCTGATTCATCTGCTTCTCCTTATCTCCTATCGCCTCTTCCAGAGACGAAAGAGCTCCTTCAGAGGAACAATGATGAGCCTGCATAGCTGATAATCTTGCTCGAGCCATATCGACTTGGTTATCTTTTTCTTTTAGTAAATCTTCCAGATTTTCAACCTAAAATTTTAATTCAATTAAAAAATTATATTACTAGATATTTTTTGGTCTGTTAAAATCAGCAAAAGTGTTAGTAAAAGCTGAATTACAAATGATAAAGATCCATGACATGTTAGTCTAATTGCTAATAGAAATGTTTTACAAAAATAGTTATTTGATATTTAATAAAAAGACGAAAAATAAACGTCGAAACGTCGGCAAATTAAGAAATTAATGTTTCCTTTTGACACGTCTTCTTCCCACTAACCTCACAAATACATTTAAAGGACGAAAACTTCGGAAAAAGTGTCTTCTTTTAATAAAACTTTCTCTCTAAATTTGACCTATACACTTGAGTAGTATGTAAAGTGACGCTCCTGTATCAAGTTGGATCTTAAATCGAACACATACAGTTTTAGTGTATAAAAACGCAAATTGGAGACATCCTGGTGTCGAAACACTGTGCACGAAGGTTGAGAGGGTAGTCAAAGGAAGAAAAGGAAGAGAGAGATGATAATATGAACATGTTAACAGTGCACGAAATCAAAGAATATTGATAATAAATATAAGCTAAAATATGAGGAATTTGATATAAAATCAAGAACCCCAATTCAAGGGTTTTGATAAATTGTTTAAACATACATCATTGGTTTGCTGAAGAAAAATCTAGGTCGTAAATTTGCTTACCATTCTTTTTAGATTGATTAAACCTTTATAAATTATATTAATAGAGTTTTCGTTTAATTTTTTTAATTTATAAGTTTAGTATATTTATCAGGTAAAGTAATTTTAAATGTATCATCTAAAACACAAATAATTTTTATTCCAAATTTTGTATCTAAAATTTCAAAATCAGTAGCTTTATATGTTTTATTCGTTTCAAGTTCAGTTGATTTTACAAATTCGTATAAGCGGTTTAGTTTTTTTAAATAGTGACTCTGTTTTGCTTTGTATTTATAAGAAAACAAATTTATGGCAGTAAACGTATATAAATAAAAGAAAGTTTGAAAAAAGGAGATTTAGAGATCTCATCCCATATTTTTTGATAACTCATTTATAACAAAACCACCATAGACTGGTTTATTAAGTTTTACTTTAGTTTTTCGTCGATATAAAATGACATTGTGTTCAATAATTATTGTTCTGGTTTTGTATTCTTTATGTTTCTCGAAACTAGATAATGTTCTGACCAATTTCACATCACATCTTGATCTTACATTTTCCATTTGTTTTCCGTACACCGCATTATTCATTATTTTGAAAAAATCTGTTCCAAAATCATTCTGTAATTTTATGTATGTAGAGTTTAAGCCACGTCTTCTGTTTAAATTTAATGTAATTTTTAACTTCTATTAAAATGATTCCTTGTCTTAAACATTCTTTTAACATTCTGAAATCGATAAAATAATCTTTCTTTGATTTAAGAGTATTTATTTACTTTTTTACAGAAGTTAAAGATAAAAATGTGTGTTTGTTATGTAATACTTCGGTCTCCGTTGCTAAAAAAGGAAATATTGAGAGACATCATAAAACTGTACATTCTAATTTTGAAAAATCATTCCCACTACATTCTGCCGCCAGAAAGGAGAAACTGAAACAGTTAAAAAAGCAGTTAATTGGATAACAATCAATATTTTTAAGAACAGTCGACAAAAATAAGGCTGCAACTGAAGCATCGTACCGTGTGTCCCAGATAATTGCACAAAAAAAGAAACCTTATAAAGACGGGGAAATGATAAAACATGCGTTTTTAGAAGCTGCTGATTCGTTATTTGCCAACTTTAGAAATAAGGTAGGTAGGAATGTAGCTATGAACAAGTACGTACTAGTAGTAGTAGTTATTTTGTTATTAGTTTATTACTGGTACCTATGTATTATGTATTACCAGTTAAATAGTAAAATTAATACATATAATGATAAATTAACTGTGGATTATTTCATTTACGTTGCGTTACGTGGCTTCCGTGTGGGTAGCTCGCTGTTTATTCCAAAATTAACAAAGTAGCTCAACACATTGAGAGGTTGGCGACCACTGGTTTAGATAGTTAATATGTTATCATAGGCACAATTTTATAAGTATTTTAAGCTACCTAAAAACAAGGGTTAGAAGATATTTTAGGCAAATGGTTTTTTTATTAAAATTAGGAATTCATGTTTCCTAACGTGTCGTTTAGTTCATTAATCAAAAGATGGTACAAGAGTAGAGTTAGTAATTAAACCTTCCTCTGTCACTTGGTGTCTTGCTAATTTGTCGCTTGGTTCCTTTTGGGAAAGTATAATCAATCCAATTCTGAGTGTAAATAGAGCTTATTAATATTTAACTTTAATCGTAGTAACGATAACACTACTTCTCAAAAAACTCGTTAGATGAGTGTTAGTTGTTAGCTTAAAATTTAATGCTATAAAATTTTGATGTTAGGAAATGTTACATAAAAATTTATTTGATAAAAAATAATTGAACTAGGTAGGTACTTACCATTTAAAATGTTTAATTTACACAAACAACCAATTTTACTTTGTAGATATTAAATTTATGTACGCTTCAATAAATGTTCACTAGACTTCGAATTATTTTTACAAAATGTTAAACCATTTCATTATTGTCTTGTATATCGGTGCTGTTTTATTAAAATTTCTAAAAAATCTTCGTCTTGTTCGCATAATAGATTTTGTTTCAGCAAAATTAATTACATTACTTGCCTTTTCTGTGTCAAAAAATAACATTTTAATGTAAAAAGAATCACTCTAAGCTTTTAGAACCATTAAAACAACAATTTTGCGTACTATAAAATTATTAATGAGAGTTATAATTAGAGCTAGGAATATATGCAAAACGCCATATTTTGCATATGTTGCATATATATACAATTTTTGATTTTGAATGCATATATTGACATTTTGTTAATTGTTTGGCATATATCTGACGTACTAATTGGCTGGACATATTAAAATTATGCGTTTTGGACCAAAATAATATAATAAATTACGGTTAATGGTGTAGGTACTTGAGATGATTAAATTATAAACACCCTCCTTAAACCAACAAATTTTGCTAAATATCCTTTCAGGTAGTTGTATTAATATCTTCAAATTTATAAATGACTCAGTTTACTTTCAACTTCATTTCAGTCTTTATTGTTGTTTTGTGTTAACCAGTGAGAAAAATGGCAAAATTAATTGAGTCGTGAGTAAAATCTTTCTTAAAGCTCCTCTAAGAACTCAATTGTACAAAGAAAAATTTCCTGAATTACAGATGCCACCGGAACCTGTGATTACTCGGTGGGGTACCTGGCTTAAAGCTAAAAATTGAAAGAAATCATATTTGATTTTTATGATTCATCTAAGGGAATATCTAATACAAAGAAGTTGTTTCAAAATCACATATTACCAAAGCAATTAGTGTTTTTAAAAAATTATGCATTTGTACCCAAAATTATATTAGATTTAGAACAAAAAAATTTACCTTTGGCGACTTCCGTAAATTTAATTAAGACGTTTGAATCAAAGTGTAAAAATGTCCAGGGCGATATTGAAAAGACGATTTTTCAAAAATTTTCAAATGTAATTTTAAAAAATGAAGGATTTATTGTTTTAAGAAACCTTGCTAATATTTATTCTGGTAACTTTGAAGATATTAATACTATTCATCCAGATATTTAAGGAAAATTTAAGTTTGCACCTATTACTTCTGTAGATGTCGAAAGGAGTTTTTCTTTGTACAAGTACATACTTACTGATAGGAGACAATCATTTAATACAGATATTTTAGAAAAACATCTAATTGTTCATTCGTTTTATAATAATGTTGATTTGTAAATAAAATTAGTTAATAATTAAATAATTATTAAGTATTATATTAGGTATTGTAAAATAATACAAATATTGATAAACTATTTCGATCAAATAACAAATTACTCTTATTGCATATGCTCTGCATATTTTTCAATTTTTTACGCATATATTGAAGTATTTTGCGGCATATATATGCGCATATTTAACTACTTTTTGGGTGCATATATTCCTAGGTCTAGTTATAATTATTGATTTTGCAGGCTTTTTCAGAAAATGAAATAATTTTAAAATGAGGAGCTGGATTCTATCTATAATTTGTACGTATCAAAACAAGAAGATATCAAACTCCGGAATATTATGTATTTATAATTTAAATAATAAAAAATTGCTTACTTTTCTTTGTAGAACGTTGATCTTTCTGTCTTTGATGTCCATATGCTCTCTCATCTCGGCTATTTCAGCTCCAGCTCTTCCTCGTTCCTGCTGAAATTGCTGCGCTTTCTTCTCTGCGTAGCGGTTCTTCTCCTCCAATCGTTGCCTGAGTTCTTCGACGTCAGTTTGAAGCATATTGTAGTGCTCTTCCTTAGCACATAGCGACTCCTTCAGAACTGCGATATGGCGTTGGTAGTCCTGGTGTTGCTCCTCCAACGTCTTCATCTTGGCGCCCATGGCGAGGATTTCTTGGTCCCTGCGTTGAATCTCCACCCGGAATTCGTCGAGCTGCACAGACGAGCAGTAGCATGCACTATCCATGCGGGGTAAAAGCGACAGTGAGGTGGTAAAACTGAACTTAAGCGGCCATAGAGTCTTTATACCTAGTTACATTCTGATAACTGATCCATCTTTCCCGATTTGCACGTCGTTCAACAGAAAACTTACTTGGCGCTTGATAGAAGTCGGTGCCAAGGTGGTGGCGAGGACGGGATGAGGCGTCAACCGCTCGACCTCGCTCTCTAGCAGCCTGATCTCCCGCTCGAGGGTCGCTATGCGAGCGTCCTTCGTGTCGAGCAGTACTTTCACTGTACTACTAGAGGGCGAGGGGACCAGCTCCAGCTGTGTTTGAAGAGTGCGCAAAGTTTCGTTTGCTGCTTGTAACTCCTGCAGAAGGGAATGAAGAGGAGCTGTCAGATGGTCTCGGCTGCCGGCCGTTCAACGCTTTACCACCACCATCGGAAATTTTGACACATTACCAAGATTACCCACCAAATCGAAACATCACCTTTTAACGGATACTCCTCGAGTTAAATACCTGCACAAGCAGCATAAAAAATTACTGTTAAGCAAATGGTAGGAGAGCTAGTCATTCCTCGAAATATCAGAATTTAATTTCAAGACAAAATATTTCAAACGATAAACTCCCTTGGATTATGGAGGAACATAATGATGTTCTTATATGCGCGGGGTACTGCCTAAATATAACCAATGGGTTTTGAATTGTAAACAATTTTACTGCAGGTAAATATACTAAATACTTATGGTATCTAATACCGACCAATTTCAAATGAGTTGTTTACATTCAGTAATTATTAAGGTAGTTCAAACAGTCGTACACAAAAATATCGCCAAAAGTTTGAGATACTCAATGCTGAGAGACTGAACACAACATATGTAAGCTTATGTACGGATACGTTATTATTTCAAGTAAAATCCATCCGGCAACGTCACAAATATATAAATGGTGCGCTATCAAGTGTATACCTATAGAAATTTGTGACTTCCTCATACTAATTTTAAGGGTTTGTTTTGGTTTAAAATACAGTAGACAAATTAATTTTTCAAGATACACGTCACAAGGTTATAACAACCTCTTAGCTGATCGAGTGTAATTCAGTGATTCTGAACTAACAATGTTGCCAAGTTGTAATCGTAATAGGAAAAGCGCCTTGCAACAATGACGCGTTACCCGAAATGCAAAGACTAAGAACCCTAGCCTAAGTGTGCGTGACTAAAAATAGTGTATTTAATAAAAGCTTGTGCTTAAAAACTTTTTTATAAAAATTCTTTTATATAATATCACGAACAAATAAAAAAAAATCACAAGTGAAAATACGAACTTTATTAGGAAGTACATACGTACATTGCATAGGTCAAAAATCATCTTATTTTTTTCTCTTCGACTACATTATTATCAACCCTCAAAAATGAAATCGAGGACCAAGACCTGTCACCATCTCTCAGTCTAGATAGGAATGGATATAATATGTAGGAACGTTACATATCAACTGCATTACTTATGAATATTGTTTTGCTCTTTACAGGTAACACTTGTATTGGAAATGGACAATGGCAATTGGAGGAATTAATATGCCAGCTCTAAATCCCGTCCAGTACAACAAAGTTCATAATAAAATGGAAAAATAGCTGACAAGGTATTTCTAGCTCAGGAGATGTCGATTGGGAAGAACAATACTTTTTTACCAGTTAAATAGTAAAATAAATACATATAATGATAAATTAACTGTGGATTATTTCATTTACGTTGCGTTACGTGGCTTCCGTGTGGGTAGCTCGCTGTTTATTCCAAAATTAACAAAGTAGCTCAACACATTGAGAGGTTGGCGATCACTGGTCTAAAAGATCATATAAGACAAATCACAACGCATTATCTGGAGTAGCTGTTATTATTGGAGAAACCAACAAAAAGGTTCTATTTATGGTAGTCAAAAATAAGTTTGCATAATATCCTTAAAATTTGAAACTAAAAACGAAGATGCACCTCAACATCAGTGTGCCAAGAATTCGAAAGGGTCATCGACATCTATGAAGAGTGCGATTATTCTTGACGGATCCCAACGTATGGATTAAAGTATACAACGTTAGTTGGTGATGGAGACAGTAGCATAACTAAAAAATTGTCTTCACACAAACCTTATGAAGCCACACCCATTCAAAAAATTGAATGTGTAAACCATTTATTAAGGAATTTTTGTAATAAATTAAAAGATTTGTCAAAGTCAAGGACAAGTCCATCAAGCCATCTAATAATTCCGTTAAATTTGAAAAAAAAATTGGAATTAAACATATTAAGATTTCGAATATCAATAAAAAAGGCTGCTGAAAAAATACGATTGTTTCAGATCAAAAAATTCAGCGGTTTTTTTTAGAAAATTTTATAACTTGTTGATTTACATTACATTAGTTTTTAAAAAATATAGTAAGAACCGTTTTTGAGAGAGCTTGAAATAAATGTATTGTTTGGGTACATGTACATACTATGAAATACTATTCCTACATTAAAAATTAAAAATATACGCTATAAAACAATATTTTTAAAATCATGTCCATCCACTTTCATCTAGCATTTTATAGTAATTAACAATATATAACCTCTTCCATACGGTACGGCACTGCCAAGTTTTCCGTTTGTGTACCTTTCCTCTCTCCCCGTCTAGATAATCATTAAACCCACTACTTCGACGAGTAAGGCGTATCTATCCTAATACATAATCGAATTTGTTATATTTCATTTTATTAAAATTAAAATCCCAAATTTTCTACAATTTCGGTATACTAGCACAGATACTACGACTTTGCATTTCTATGTTGTTATATAAATTATCGAAACAAGCTAAAATAATTTAAGAAAATGTAAACAATTAATTACCAATGGTAATGTGGAACAGTGGCGGCCCATGAGCCAAAAATTGAGAGTTAACACTGACAGAATATAGATCTTTGCAAAACACTGGAACCTTGTTACCTAAATTCGTACTGAAATCTATATTCTTTCATTGTGAACCCCCAATTTTTTCTCCACGAGCCGCCACTGATGTGGAACTAACTACTAAATGGTTAAATGATGGTGATTCGATTTGGCCATAGCAAAAATTTGTGGATTAATTACGACAGCTATGTACAAAATGACGACACCAAACATGCTTAATGAATTTTCGAGTATAGTGTAGTCATAGTCAGATTCGACTTGATACACTAACTCTAGTGGTATCTTGATTATGTGCCAGATGATATGAACATTAAACCACGGCCACACATACTCTCATATATACTTCTACGTTCATGACGTCCTCGAAAGAAGTTTAATTTAATTTAAAAAATTCCAGTGGATTATTTTCTTTTGTTAGATTATTAAGATATTGCTTGACTGAAAATTTAAACCGCTGATAGAAATTGCAGGTTTAATAAATTATAGATATCTCTACAATTTAATTTGCACTTTGTTAATTAGAAATAATGGTCTAATATTTAATTTTAACAGTAGAAATAATGCAAAATACAAAAATTAGATAATACATTTTATCTCTGAGTAAAGTTGCATGTAGGTTTAACCAACAAACCATAGCCTTATAGTTTAATCACCAAGTAGTTACTTTCAACTTCACTCAGAGCTAAAAAACTGGCCCTAAGGCGTTCATTTTCTTGTTAAACAAGGGTTAGCTTATAAGTTCAAACATCCAGACTGAGACCGTAAAAGTTCTTTTTCGTTAACAGCACAGCAACCATATAACATTGCTACAACGATTTTAATGACACAACAATATTTATTATTGCCATCTCTAATATTTTACACGTTTTGTAGACAGAATGAAACTCGTATATTACGAAAAATAATTGTTTAAATTTCAAAATAATTTTCTATAGAACTTTCCAAGTATAACCAACAATTATTGATCTTTAAAAGTAGACATTTTAGCTGACTCTTCGACATTTTCAGGATATTAAACATTTTCTTTACAAGGACCTGGTTGTATTTGGTTATTTGAATCGATGTCTGTAGTCTTTCAACCTCGTATGTATAAGTGGGATGTAAGATATCTTCATACAGACAACGGTTAAACAGCTTGTCAATTTTGAACAAGAAAATCGAATAGATATCAGGACAGTCTTCATAAATACTATACATCATACAATATAAACCCCAAATATACAACAAAACCACCAATGGACAAAAGAGATATTAGAATAGCCACTTGGAATACCAATGGTAGTCTCCAAAAACAAACTGCTATTCAAGTTTTCTTGGACGCACAAAAAAATAGATATGTGCGTTTAGTCCTTTTATACATTTTTACTTTCTTATCTGTATACAGATATAAGGAAAGTATAGGAATCATGATTTTTTTCGACCTCGAGTTTTCGACGGATTTTTACGTTTTGAGGTCCCCTGAATCCGTTTTGACTATTTTCGCGATGATGTCTGTGTGTGTGTGTGTCTGTGTGTGTGTCTGTGTGTGTGTGTGTGTGTGTCTGTAGGTCGCATAACTCATGAACCGATACACAGAAAAACACCAAATTTTAAACTTAAGCTTTGTTTCAGCGTCCAATGAGCTGATTAGATTTTGGGCAGAGTCGGAATATCTGGGGGGGTACTTTATAGGTGGTCATTTTTATATTTTATGGAATATATCTGTTATTTACGTTTGGAGAAGAAAATTCTTCAAATAAAAGTTACTTCTTATATAATTATCTATAATTTTTGTTTTATGCAAAATTTTCCTAAAATGGTCCGTATTTGAGAAATTTGACAAAATGTAAAAAAAATAATTTTTTATAAAAATTGTTCAAATAAAAGTTGTTTGTAATATAATTCTCTATAATTTTTATCCTATAAATAATTTCTTTAAAGGACCGTATTCGAGATATTTGAGAAAATGTGTAAATTTCGAATTTTGAAGAAAACTCAAAAACGGATAAAGGAAAAAACATTAAATTTTAAACTTAGGTTTTATTTCGACCTGAGGTGAACTGATTAGATTTTGGGC